ACATTTATTTATATACAAAAAAAAACCAAAGTCTTTACACTACTGAAGACTGCTTGCATCCAACGTCAGATTAGCCTAAACCAAACAACTTTCTGCATTGATTACGAAGTTGCTGTTCAGAATTCAACATCTTTTCCGGGAATCACTATTTTAGGATTTGTTTTCACTATACTCAGTATATTTGGAGTATAGTGCCGTCAACAGGACTTGTCGCCAACTATAAAGGAGAACCAGACATTTATGAACTTATACCTGGGGCAGCAGTTTTTCCTCTGGTACCAGAAATAGAAGACGTCTGGTTCCATGCACTTGAAGACCTGGATTATTCGGACTCAACAGCAAATACCACTTCGTTTACGGACTACGTCACAACATACTGTGTTGAAAACAACAGGGTTGCGTTCAATATCGTAGCGGCTACTTAGGGATACGTAGATTTATGACTATTTAACGTGTAGCTAGCCTAGCTGCTACATAGATATTGATAGCAGCTAGGCAAGCTACTCGTTCAGTAGACAACAATCTACGTAGCACTACGTAGCCGCTACGATATTGAACGCAACCCAGGCAGCTATGGAACCATTACCAAACAGAAGGACCAAGGACGACAAACCACCTCGAAGGATGGCACAGCAGCTTGAAGAATATGATCTAAATACCACACCCAAACATATACAAGCTACTGAACTATACCTTATAGAAGAGCAGGCAGCAAACAAAGTGACAACCATCCAGTACCAAACCGGGATATTACGATCAACAAATAGAAGAAAATACACAGGATGTATAGGTACCCTGCCACGTCCACTATGTGTTTTTCTTTTATGTATTTCTGTCTGTATCCATCTGAGTTCAACTGATTGTTATAGTTTGTTCTTATGTTGTTCTGTTACACCACTGTCTCAGGTTAGGGGAGGGTTGGGCGCCCGCTAACATGTTTAACCCCGCCACTTTCTGAATGTGCCTGTCCCAAGTCATGAACCTGTAATTCAGTAGTTGTTTTTTCGTTTCTGTATATTATATTCATTGTTCGTTTATTGTTTTGTACAGTTTGTTCTTGTGTTGTGTTGTGGCACCACTGTCCCAGGTTAGGAGAGGGTTGGGCGCCATCCAAGCATGTTTAACCCCGCCATATACTGTATGTGCCTGTCCCAAGTCAGGAGCCTGTAATTCAGTGGTTGTCGTTTGTTTCTGTGTATCATATTTGTTTTTCGTTCATTATTTTGTAAATAAATTAGGCCGTTAGTTTTCTCGTTTGAATTGTTTAACAGTTGTCATTTCGGGGCCTTTTATAGCTGACAATGCGGTATGTGTTTTGCTCATTGTTGAAGGCCGTACGGTGACCTATAGTTGTTAATTTCTGTGTCATTTGGTCTCTTGTGGAAAGTTGTCTCGTTGGCAATTATACCACATCTTCCTTTTTTCTTATACACAACTCAAACAACGCCTACGGGAACCCAAAGATTATCCTCAGAATAGTGAAGTTACTACAGTATGCTAACATTGCCTGTTATTTGTTACACTTGGACTAAATTTGTTGCAAATTGTAGTACTTATGTATTATATGTACTATATTAATTGTTATACATTCTGTGTTGTATGCATTATAGTATCTGCTCTCCTTGTCATATGTGTGCTTTAATGAACTAAGTTGTTTATTATGTGTGCTTTAATTATTATATCAGGCTGTTTGTTTTTCGCTTGTTCCTAGAGGCTAGGTCACTTACGTTTTGTAAATTTAGAACATGTAACCATAAAATTCCCGTTGAACTTAGAAGATGGTTCAATAAAGAAGGGAAAAATAGAAAGGAGACGATTTGTAAAAGCTACTTTGCTTGTTTCTCGATCCTAGATATTTCTCTCAAGTGTATTGTACTGTTATGTGATGAATTATTTGAATGAATATTGTTTAAACTAGAAAAGAAAGTATAATGTATGTAATCTAGACATTGGGGGGGTATAAATCCAATTATATTATAAATTGTTCACAATTTATAGAAGAGAGTTATGTACATATATATAAAAATGTTTCAATATAAGACAAAATATTGTACGCTTTACTGAAATGACGTCTTCTCAAAACAGGGCAAATCTGATACATTTTTCACTGGTTTCAACGTGATGATCGTAACTGCAATTACGATCATCCCAATATGGCGGACACAAATTCAGGTAAATTTTATAAGTCCGATTTCTCCACTTTAACAGCTTATTTTCAGATTTGTATTATGTCAAGAAACATCTTTATAAGCATTGCCATTGATTTCCCCCCCTAAATGATGGAAAAGCATCCAGAAGAACGAAAATCGAGATACAAAAAAACACGATGATGGTTGTAACTTTTATTTATTTTTATCAACGATGATCGTAGCTGTCTGTTCCAACGAAGCATTTTCTGATAAATATAGGCTATTTTAGCTGTCTGGTATGCGAAAAAGGGTACGCAATCAGCTACATTGTGATAATAATGAGAGACGATCACTGGGGGAGGGTAATGTCCTATTGATTGGTATACGGGTAAGTGCACAAATATGGGTTTATGATTTTGCGAGATTTTGTACCTTTTTAATCTAGTTAAATATATTAAAATGCATTGGGGTTAACAACTTTATATTGATTTCATATGTCTTATATAAATAGATATTGAATATTTCATATTAATGGCCAGTTTTTGGGTGTGAGTATTAAATCACAATATTCTATAATTATACGTAAAGGTCATTCTTTTTATATACATAAAATTGAGAATGGAAATGGGGAATGTGTCAAAGAGACAACAACCCGACCATAGAGCAGACAACAGCCGAAGGCCACCAATGGGTCTTCAATGCAGCGAGAAACTCCCGCACCCGGAGGCGTCCTTCAGGAATTTGAAAGGAGAGGTGAAAAATATAGCATTAAGAAGTGTAATCATATCTGTTGAATGAAAAAAAAAATTGAAACCACCTATAAAATAATTTATTTAAGTATTGATACCAAATTTCAGTGAATGCTATATAAAAATTGGTACGTTTGTAAGGCAGAAGTGGCACATCCCTACAAAAACAATCGAAGTACCACCCCCACCCCTTTTTCACCAACACACACATACACTTTGTAGGGACAATAGTACCTTTCGAGAACCTGCTAATTTTGGGGAATTCGGATTTTATAGTTTTCATTAACAGATACAGGATTTTTAAAGGAGAGGTGAAAAATATAGCATTAAGAAGTGTAATCATATCTGTTGAATGAAAAAAAAAAAAAAATTGAAACCACCTATAAAATAATTTATTGAGCTTTTTGGCTAAAACAGCTTCTTCGACTAACTTCAATAATATGTGTCATATAACCGTAAATATAGGCAACAGTAGTCTACCAATGTTTAATAGTCATAGTTCGATTAAGAAAAGACAAAACCAGGCAACAAGCTTAAACCGAGGGAAACACATCAATATAATGTAACTTTAAGCCTACCACTACTTATTTCTGAAATATTTGCCCTGCAATCTTAAACTGTATCATGAAGATGATATTTATATTTACTTCATATAAACGTATTCCATTTTGAATTTTAACTAAATTACTCATTAGAAAAATAATATTGATAACATTTGCAAATAAGCCGGCTAATTCCCCCTCAGTATGTCATTTCTTTTTGACAAATTGCGGTGTTCATTAACGCTCATTTTGTTCAGTTTTAAAATCTTACTATTTTCAGTGATACCAATATATCGTGACTGCTAAATAGGATGTTCATTTAAAGAAGAAACACATCGTAAATTTTGAGTTACTATCATCTTTATATAAAAACAAGTCCAAGTTACGATCATCCATAGACGAAGTTACGATCATCCATAGACGAAGTTACGATCATCATCGTTTTTTTTTTGTATCTCGATTTTCGTTCTTCTGCTTGCTTTTCCATCATTAAGGAAAAAAACATTCAATGGCAATGCTTGTAAAGATGTTTCTTGACATAATACAAATCTGAAAATAAGCTGTTAAAGTGGAGAAATCGGCCCTTTAAAATTTACCTGAATTTGTCCGCCATATTGGGAGATCGTAATTGCAGTTACGATCATCACGTTGACACCAGTGATTTATGTACGATTATAAGAATCAAGAATCATAAACAAGCGAGTGTGTCCTCCTGAATAAATTGCCTGAATTGTTTTTTGTTTGTAGATATTGCATTTATGATTATGTATTTGATTTTGTGATTAGAATAAAGATATACATATCAAAACGGCTTTGATTTTGGGAAATTTCAGAAGGATTAATATTGAAAGGTCTTAAAATCCCTGGTAAAATAATAATAATAATAATAATAATAATAATAATAATAATAATAATAATAAATTCTTAGTTAAAGAGACTGTAACTCAAATAGAACTTGTTTAACTTTCATTGGCGCCCTCAAACAAAAATACATGCATACAGTACACATTAAACAGCATTCATATGAAATCATTCAAACGTCAACATAGCAACAGAGACATGTATTATATGTCTCTGATAGCAATAATAATGAAAGTTTTCAAATTCTAACCGAAAATCGTAAAATCGTTAGATTTCATTTTACTTACATATATACAGTAGTATTTCCTAACCCGAATAATTCAGTCTCTCCCCGACTGAATTATGCAGGTTAAGTATTTCCAAGACAATTATGGTTTTTTTTAATAATTCTACCAACGACATATACAATGTATTTATATATTTTTATGTCTCTGGTTCTACGTACGTTATAAACACATTTTTATTTTGAATGGTAATATTCATTGATTCCATATCTTTGTAGAATAAATAATGAAAAGATTTCTTATAAATATATCATTTAGTCTTGGTACAAACTGGGACATGATATATAGTCAGTATAATCAGAGACATATAATACAATTATCATATATGTCTCAGGTTTTAGCGAATTGTATTCTTGGTCATTGTTAGGTGGCATATCTTAGCGGTTTTAAGTCTTATTTTTCAGATCGTCTTTCTCGCCTTTTACGAGACTATAACGAGAATTCGTCCTTAGTGATAAAATGGCGGATAAACAACAATTTTTACACTTTCACCAAATTAAGTTCCCTGACGTCTTTACACATGCAACAATGTTTTATTGATTAGCATCCTAAGCAGTAGGTCTATTGTAAAAGAAATTGTTTGAAATACTCTTATGTTTTGGTTCAGCTTTTGTGCAGATTCAATGTAAAATTGGAGAGCATAATTCCAAACTGCTAAAGTAAAAGCCAAAAGGCTCATTCCTTTGACTTTCGTAGAACTTGTACTTTATGGTTAAGGGTCAGTTAACTGAACACTAACCCTATCCTTTAAACATACACCTAGCTTAGAACATCATCTAACATAACCATAAATGAACCCTAAAGAATCATGACCACTAAGGTAAATTTTAAGAAGACCAGGGTTTGAGCTTCAGTTAGGGTCAGGTTAAGGATTAGGCTGTTAGGTTAAGTTAGGATAACTATATACTTTACTTTACTTGGGGGTTCCAACCGATATAGAGCTATACTAAATTATCCTTTATGCTTTACTCTAAACCTAACCCTAACCATAATGAACCATTAGTCCATATAACCCCAAAGCAAAGGAACTGCCCCTTTATGATGTTTTACAAAGAATACTGAAAAGGAACAAAAACATGGATTTAGGGTGTTATTGTCTGTCATGTTCATAATAATAATATTTATTCAAGATAAAAGGCATAAAATTGACAGACACAATAAAGTAAAATGACATACAAATATAGCACTAGACATAATTAGGATCTTACAGTTACAGACACTAAAAAATGATTTACAGTTATGAGCACTAAGAATTGTAACTTTTAAAAAAGATAAAATTATGGAAATTTTCATTATTTTGATATTTGACTAGACTGTAATATTTTTAAATGGACTAGAATTTCACTGCAACCTAATACCTTAGGATGACCCACAAAAGATCAGGAAACTTATTTCCAGTGGGGTCCTACCAGAGACTGCCAGTTTACACCAAGCTTGACACATATAAATAACAAAAATCATTTAAAATTATCACAAGCAAATTTCATGCCTGTTGAAGGTCTCATACCTTAGAAGTAAGACCCTAATTGACCCTTCTAACATTTATGCTCCCTTCAGGAACATATAGTGTGTAACCCTCTATTTTATTTAGGTTTAGGGTTCAGGTTGTATTTAGGGTTTGGTAAGGGATAGGTTTAATCTAGTACATGTATAGTCATATATGGGTTGGGTCTCATAAAGTTAATGAAGAAAGCCCTATATGGGTTGGATCTCATAAAGTAAATGAAAATAGCTTTATATGGGTTGGGTCTGTATATAAATTATGCATTTTATTTCTAAAACACAATTATGGTCATACCTTATTCATTACTATAGCACTGATAGCATTTGTGAACATGATGATGAGTTACCTTGCAGTGTTAATTTGAAAAATATTTAGCTAATTTAAATTGGAAATGAACGTTCTAACATTACTTTCAGTTCTATCATCATTATTATAACATGTACATGTATAAGAGAGTTGTCTATCTTTTCTTCTTTCTACAGTAGAAAATATATTCATTGATACCAAAGCAAATTACAAGGCTTTGTATTATAAAATACACAAATAAAACCAAATAAATGATTAATAGATACAGAAAAATCCAACAACAAATGAATGAAAATTCCCTTATGTTCTCACTTGTAAGGACAATTTTATTATAAATAGCCAAAAAATATTAAGTAATTTGTAATTTTGGTAGACAAGAATAATTATAGTACTCACTGTTCCATCATTTAATAATTTTGATAAAATTTCACTTGGATATCTCAAACATTATTTTCTAAAGGAAAGTGATCATTATCAATATCATATTGAAGAAATAGACATTATTTCATAACTTGAAAGGTTTCTTTAATAACTACCACTTATTATTTTTTGCTTATTGGACAATTCTAATTGTTTTAGATATTATATATATTCTCAAGATTTTGAAGAATGAACAGCCCTATGAGGATTTGAAAAGGATTTTAGAATGGAATCTTGAACTTTTATCACTGAACCATCTTTTTTACACTAAATCTGTCATTTATATCTTACAGGTTGAAATATAACAGCAGAATATGACGTCCTCTTTAACTCGTTTTATTAACAACTTTTCTGAAGATGTCGAGAGTGAAGGAAACCTCAGCAAGAACATACTCCTTCTCAGAGAACGAGCCAGACAGGAGGAGAAACAAAAGGCTGTTAATTACTGGAAACTTTTACGTAACACCATTCGTAAGGCCACACAAGCTGCTGTGGAATCTGATATTAAACAAGTCAATATTTCACATGGAATGCACCACCATAGAAAAATTAATCACCAGACAAAATTAAAATGCGTCCTTTTCATAAAAGAAAGAAAGGTATGTTTATAGCACAGGAAGGATAAATAGCTTCATGTTTAATTTAATGAAATTTTTATCATTTAAAAATTCATCATAAGTATGTGTATGAATTGTCTGCCAAGTTTTCTTTATCAGTACATCAATTGTTAGTTTTTTAGCCAAAACAGGAAATAGATTAAAACGTACTCCAGTTTTTGGTGGAGATCCTAAAATTTTTTACATTTCTAAGACATCTTTTGTAATATTGGAAGACTATTTTTGACAAACTAATTCATCATCTTTTTCACTGTATCTATAAATGTGTGACAAATAAGACCATTAAACATTGCAGTAATAGTACAAAACATACATAACATTAAAGTGTCAAACTACCAAAATGTAAAAACCAAATATAATGTGGTGAATACTGAATAACATTTCTTTTGCTGTGAACTGCCATGTTTAATGTGTATATAATTAATTTCATGATTCATCACATTATTCTCTCTAAGAATTTAAAGAACCTTACATTATGATAATATCTGAATTAATTTTATACAGAATGTGTTATAAATGTGGTGCTATAATTTTCAGAGAAACAGTGCTATAACTGCTATTACAAATCCAAAGGTGCTATTTGAAAATACTGTGGAGAAAACTTGCATTACCTTAAACTTTATATTTCATACCATTACATCTTGTTGATGTTTTGTATCAGATTGAATTTTACCAAAATATATGCTTACATTTGACACTGATTATATAATTCTGTTTATAGATGTCAGTGGTACAACATGTTTAATTTTATACTAATCTTCTTCTTTTATAGGAGTACTTGACTACTGATGGGAAAGTGGTAGAGTTTTTTTTAGAGGATGGACGCCGTAAACCAGAAAAGAATATGTTTGCCCCTGAAGAACCAATGGATAACATAATGTACTGTAGTGAGACTAAACAGTTTGTTGGTTGGAAGAAGGGAGAAGATGAACTATTTGTAAGTTTTTATTCTGTAGTATAAGAATTGATAAAAAGTCTGATAAAAACTATGTGGACACTATGTTTATTCATAATCTTATTGTTATCCTCCGTTAATCACCAAAATGTTTTCATTCACATTTTTTTATTACTTTTTGTTATACATATTTAATAAAAAAACACCACTCTGTTTTAGAGTTCCTCGGATACCTACAAAAACAATACAAGGGAGATAATCACATTTATATTTTATTTTTCAGTTGATGAATGATGAGTTTGAGATTATTTCACAAGCCAGAGTTCCCTCTAAGATTGATTTGGCCACCTACAACAACAGTACAGGGGAGATAATCACATTTAGTCCTGGATTTTGTGTGGTACATATTTATAAATTATAATAAGTATAAGTTTTATCTACTTTCTATTCTGAACCATAATTCTAAACTTTATGAAACATATATAACCATTGAAGATTAGAAAGTATTTAAAATGGCTCCAAACCAATTAAGCAATAGATTTATTTGGGGTTTAAATGTTTTTTTTTACATCTTAACTAAAAAGATGTACAGATGGTCTATCTTAAAAATTTCTCACTTTGTTTTGATGGAATGAAAATGGTGATTAAAGACATTTTTTGTTGTTATTGGGTCCCCTTAACCTTGAAGTCTAAATATCTAGGCAATTTGGTTCAGGATATAAATCGTGGTGACAAAAAGTCACAAGATATATATAATCAAGATGAGCAAAAAAAGCACAAAAAAAGATTTGATGTGAGTAAAAGATTAAAAGCAATTAAATTAACTGCATTTTCAACTTGGAAGAGGAATGTCTACATTTGATAAAACCATATTAAAAATTATCCTTGATTTTCTTCCACTGCACACGCCAACACTTACAACTTTATTTTTTTCATGTTTCAAGTTGTCACCATTTGAAAAAAAAAAATTATACAAACCTGGAACCAGTTTATATCAGAACCAGTAAAAGATAAAAGGAAAACATGTCAGCTCACTAAAAAAATAGTTCAATAATTTTGGACCTTTTTCAGGCTTAATTAAGTTTAATACTGCTGGGATACTCAGTAACTCTTTTTTTACTAGAAATTTGAATTGCATTGTTTTATTATTTGAGGGTTGGGCATTTAGGTATGGAGCCAGACATCTGATACCAAGAAAAATGACCAAGACAAGATTTAAAGAGGACAAAGAAACAAGAAAATACATTCCGTTTAAACATATGATACTTGAGGAAACAGCCAGTAGAGCACAGAAGTGTTATGTGTCATTTGTCAATAGTGTTGTGGTAATTACTTTTCCTAGAGTAGAGAATATCAATATTTACTTAACTAAAATCTCATCCCTTACCAGTTACCTATCCTCTTTTTTTTCATTCAAAGTAATGTAAGCATACCAAGATACAAGATATTTTATTTTCCAAATTAGGTCCCCAGTGGGCATACACACATAACAAATATAATCTTTACAACATACAGTATTTTACATGACATTCATATAATACACCTAAAATATTGATATACAGTGATACAGGCTATTATATGTTAAATTAAAATAAAGTATTTAAGAGTTGCATACCAATTATGCTGTAATAATTAGCTCATCAGTTAAAACTGTCAAAAGACAAACGTAATTATTTGCATGACCCATTACTCGCATTGCAATCTTTGAATTGAATATAACCCTAAATGGAGTTTCAATAATATAGTTTCATATAAACTGAATTTTCTTTTTCTTAAAAGCTTCAAATAATCTCCCATCTTTGGAATTTTTTAGTTCCAAGTCTTAATTTATGAATAAAAGGACATTTGGGGTATACATTAATAAGACAGCAACCTAACTCGTATAATGACATAAAAAACCAAAATACATCCCAAGGTCATCATACCAATCTCTATTAAAAGACAGGTGTCTATACTAAAATAGTTTTTGTGTAAAGATATCACAGCATTCGATATACATGTGCTGGTTTTGACAATACAGTGATAGTAAATATATGCAGGAAATTTTTTTTCTATTGTCATGTATGTCTTCATTATGTTTGATTAAAGTTTATTTTTCCTTTTGAATAACATGAAAATAATTAGAACAACAAATCAACAAAAGTTATACTTAAACAAAATTATACATAAAATATATGAAATCATTATTCACCAATTATCAGACCTATATTACTGTAACTGTCTGTGATGTATTGTTAAGCTTTGACTGGTGGATCCCAATTATTGTCACATTAACATATTATGTCTGTTTTGGATTCTCACCCAATTTTGTCCATATAACGGAACTATAAACAAATGTCATACAAGTGGGAGGTTTAGCTAGCGATAAAACTAGGTTTAACCCACCATTTTCTTTGGAAAATGTATGTACCAAGTCAGGAATATGTCTATTGTTGTCCATTTGTTCAGTTTGTTCATAAAGTCTAACATTTGATTTTGTCAGTTTTTTGGACTTCCCCTTTTTGAATTTACCTTGGAAATCAGTATTTTTGTTAATACTTTTTTACTATTATTTTTTTTCAGATCTTTAATGTGTTTGAAGGAAAAGAAGTTGACCAAAGACCCAACCTACATGAAAGAGCCATATCAGCTTTAACATACTTCAATCCTCTAAAATATCTTATAACAGCTGCTATTGATGGGTCAAGTAAGTTAATTTTAATAGTCTCTAATCCACACTTTTCACAGCACAAAATCTAGCAAACTCTTGAAGAATAATTGGATTCTTTAATCCAGTAATTGAGGTTATATGCACAATATAGTAGCCTCAGTGACCGAGTGGTCTAAGTAGTCAAACTACTGTATCACTAGCCTGTCAACACTGAGGTTGTGAGTTCGAATCCCACACATGGCAGGTGCATTTGACTCCAATCATAATTGACTAGGATTGTCAGTTTTCCTAGTGAAGGTCAGTGGTTCTCTCAGGGCACTCTGGCTTCCTCCACCAATAAAAACTGACTGCCATGAAATAGCACAATAGTGCTGAAAATGGCCTTAAACACCAATCAATCAATCAATCATATGCACGATTTGTTTCAGGTGAACAGTAATAGAAACATTTTCTTCAATTCCTTGTGTATATTGTAAACTTGGATATGTACATTGTATGATGGCTCATTTCAAAGCTGTCAGACATTTTCACTTTAGTCATTTTAAATTTGGATATGATATGAGATAAATATTTCTCTGTTAAGGGAAACCTGCATTACTCTCTTTAATACTGCTTCTCTAAGTGAAAAATACAAATTTTCATAAATTGAAATTCTCTGGAAATTCAACACTTTGCTGCAAACATTTGATAACTTCATATTTTGTTACACTTATTTTATAAATATCTTTTAAGAAATTTAAATATCTCTTGTGTTGAAGAAATGTAGAATTAGTGGAAAGCCTTTTATTTTGTTATAGTAAAAGTATGGGACAGTAAAGAATGGTTTCTACAGATGGTGTTTGTGGGTCATACTCAATCAGTGACATCATTAGCTGTTTACCCAGAAGGCCCTGCAATCATGTCTTCCAGTAAAGATAGGACTGTTCGAGTCTGGAACTTAGATTCCTGCGATGAAATGGATAGGTAATTTCTAATTTTCAGAGAGAAAACTGAAAAGTGAGGCAAAAATGACATGTAAAGCAAGTGTCAAATGAATTAACAATTAATAACTATGAATGAATGGCAGCTAAAATTCAATGACTCACATAAAGTTGTGTAGATCTTAGAACTGAAAAGGAAAAATAATTAACTGATTAATGGGATATTGAAATATGAAAAAAGGTATCAGAAATTGCAGAAAAAACATCTAAAAAAAAAAGCTGTACACAAATATAATTTATATAATTTCTGATTTATGTTTTTTTCTAGTGAAGAAACTAATATAATATGAAGAATGTGACCATTTAATGATGTTTGATTTGTTTGTCTTTAGAGCCAAGGTGGATGAGACACCAGAGGGTATGGCTACAGAACTAAACTATGATAAGTTTCTAACCTGGTCGGGGACACATGTAGATATGTGGAAAATACAACATCTGTATAACATACACACTGCTATAGGGTAAGTAAAACTGAGGGACCATTGCTCTAGTAAATATAAAATCTGTTTACATAATGACCAATGGTTGGATGAATCCAACAAGCAACAATCTGTATAACTTACACACTGCAAGAGAGTATATAAACATTGTGACGATTGGTCATATAAATGTACTGAAATTTTGTAAGGATCACCATTGAAAGTTAAATTCACAGCAAAAATGTTATTGGATAAAAGTTTCCCAACTGACCAACATGGAACCTTAATTAACATTGGATGAAGTAGCTTGCAGTATATTTTGTTTAAAGTTGGCTTTACTGACAATAAATCTTCAGGGTAAAATGTTGCATTCTGACAAAATAAGTTTCTGGGTTAAATGTTGCTTTCTGACAAAATAAGTTTCTGGGTTAAATATTGCTTTATGACAAAAAGATCTTCTCTCTAAAAGGTTGCTTAACTGAACAACAGTGGTTCTTGATTTTAACTGACTATACTAGATAGTATGGTTAAAAGTTGTTTTACAGACCAACTGTCTTTTTGTCTAAAGGTTAAAAATTGGCTTTAATGATTAACTGCTTTCTGTGATAAAGTGGATATACTGATCAAAAATATTTCTTGGTTACTGGTGGCTTAACTAACAAACATGGGTTTTATTTAAAGTTTGCTTGACTTACCTAAAATAGCTCTTTCATAGATGGCTTAAGTTACATGTAGTGGTCTTTGTTTAAAATGGCTTGACAAACCACCAATGTTCTTAGTTAAAGTTTAACTGACATTTTTTCTTGTTTAAAGGTGGCTTAAATAACCAACAATGTTTCTTGGTTAAAGATGGCTTAACTGACCAACAGAGATTTTTGGTTCTAGTTGTTTTATCTGAACACCTTTTTTTCAACAAACCTTTTTACAATGTAAAAAATGGATGCAAAAGGTTAAGATACATTTTGGCTTGTATATATATTACAAATGCTGCTATATAATAATATATTATTGATCTGATTGGAATTATTTAATTTCACACTGTATATGGTGAGCATTGGAGGATAAAACTAGAAGAGGTACCGGTATCACTGGATTTTTCAAAAACTTTTTCAGTGAAAAAGAATTATAAACTTAAACCTACACATCTTGTATGTAATTTGTCTAATCAGATAAATGGAAGTGCGTCACATGGTATTGATTTGGTGAGACAGATCATGCATGTCATACAGATTTATTATTTTTTCTTGTTTTTATTTTTTTAGACAAAGAGTGATGGGAATCAAACACACCTCCCATCCATTTCATCCAGTCAGATCTGTAATAGTGAGCCATGACTGTAGTATTAGGATTGTGTCGCCACCTACTGGAGATGTGATAACTACTTTGTTACTGGACTCTAAAGTTGGAGTGGTTGATGCTGCTTATGCTATAGAATATGGTATGGTTTCTTGCCTGTATTTTTGTAGTAAAATTAAACAATAGTATCTAAGTGAGAAGAAATTTTACGAAAATTACGTAGCCATTGAACCAAAATTAGACATCTAGAGGTCAACATACAGTTTTCAGTGATAAATAAATACAAGCTTTGAATCACCCTGAGTATTGACAAGTTATAGATAATAAATAAATACAAGCTTTGAATCACCCTGAATATTGACAAGTTATAGATAATAAATAGATACAAGCTTTGAATCACGCTGAGTATTGACAAGTTATAAATAATAAATAAATACAAGCTTTGAATCACCCTTAGTATTGACAAGTTATAAATAATAAATAAATACAAGCTTTGAATGACCCTGAGTATTGACAAGTTATAAATAATAAATAAATACAAGCTTTGAATCACCCTGAGTATTGACAAGTTATAGATAATAAATAAATACAAGCTTTGAATCACCCTGAGTATTGACAAGTTATAGATAATAAATAGATACAAGCTTTGAATGACCCTGAGTATTGACAAGTTATAGATAATAAATAAATACAAGCTTTGAATCACTCTGAGTATTGACAAGTTATAAATAATATAAATACAAGCTTTGAATCACCCTGAGTATTGACAAGTTATAAATAATAAATAAATACAAGCTTTGAATCACCCTGAGCATTGACAAGTCATAAACAATGAATTTACCAATGGCTACATAACATTTGCCATTTAACATGTTTAACAGCTTCAAATCAAAAGAAAAAAAAAACAAAAATAGGCATGTTTCAGATTTTTATACTTCTTAGAAGAAACGCTGATTGATTATAGATTTAAATTTATTGATACATCATGTTGTATTGTATTCTTTCAAGAGAGATAATCATACACTATATATATATAAGTCTAAAATGAAAACAACGTTCAAACCTATGATTGCGTTGGATAAAAACCACAATTTTTATACGTGTGCATGCAAAACAAATTTCTTGGTAGAGGGGTCTAAATACAGCACAAACAACATTTTCCAAAAGACCAAAAAAGTGAAAAAGTATATTTAAACAAAACACATTTGACTAACAGGTCGAACAACGTATGTTCTTAAACCCTGCTGACTGCCATTGGCGATTGCCAAATAAATGGATCACAAGATGTAACAAAATGGATCTTTATTATTAATTTAATACCAAACAGAAAACAATAAACTTGCAGAAAAGATGGTATATATATACATAATTACTTAGATTTATTAGTAATCTCTATATATATATATATATATATATATATATATATATACATAATTACTCTAAATATCAGCACAACAATGTTAAATCTGCAAATTTGCGGAAGCAAATTTTTGTTCTTCCCTTGCCGGGATTCGAACTCATGCTATTGAGATATCTAGACAACAGCGTCTGCACTGTGTCCAGCGCTCTAGACCACTTGGCCACATAGACTGAACAAAAGTTCAGCTTTCGGTGACCTAGTGTTACCTTTCCTCGTCAGTAGAATCTAGAGTTGTAACACAGTACATGATATATTAGACATGAAGATGGAATTGATTGCAGATTAGCTAAATTATCTATTGTAGAGGATCGTAAAATGCAGTCACAAAAATATATATATATATACAGTTATTAATCATCTATGTTAAACTATAAACACCTACAGCTATGTGATAAAAACACAGTAATATGTTTTGTCACTTAAAGCGTAAACAAATTTTGAAAGTTATTGAAAATGATTTATATATTTTTTACAGATGATTTGTTTGTTGTTACAAACAATGGAGACATTATAAAGAGTAAAACAGACACAAATCCTTGCAGAATTATCAACACATGGAAATGTGAGAATCCAAAAGGTTGGTAGAAAATGATCATCTTAATAAGTTTGGAGAGCTGTCATATCAATACTCATTTTATCTTGCCTGGAAAGAATATCTCAGAGTGCAAGAGACAGAGATAGTCACCCATAATCAGTAATGGCATTGACGATTTGTATATAGTAATAGTATTGGAGAAAGGGACCTAACCATGAAAACTTAACCTTGACTGATGAATCATGAAGATGAGGTCAAGGTCAGATAACCCTGCAGGGTGGATATGTACTGGCCTAAAATATGCTGTTATCATTATCATAGATTTTTATTACACAATGTAAACACAAATGGTTAACATTAAATGCATCAATTTTACTGCACCAGATGTGCATTTCGTCAATATGTTTTCATAGATGCTCAAGATCAATAAGTGTGAAAATAAAAAATCAAATTAAACTTGGAAGAGTCATCAAATATATAATAAACTCTTAAAACCCTAAGGCCTTCAACAATGAGAAAAACCCATACTACAGTCGAACCTCGTTGTGTCGAACTCGGATGAGTCGAAGTAATTTCTCGGTCCCGGTAAAATTCCTGTTTGATCAATGCATAATTACCTCTGATGAGTCGAACTCAGTTGATTCGAATACTTGGTTAAGTCGAGTACATTTTATAGTCCCGTCGAAGTGAAATTAATGTAAATTGACCCCGATGTCTCGAAGTACAAACCAAGAATTTTCGAAAGATTCAGGTCTAATGTTGAAAATTCAAATCGGATGTATTTCTTATGTCACCTAATCATTTTCAAAAGAGATTAAAGCTGAGTAAACATACTTGTTTGTATAACAGTTAAAATGACATGTTTATGGTGACCGCTAATTAACACCTTTGTTGATCGTTCAAGCGGAATGTTAGTGTGTTGAACATTTTTCACCTGAGATAAAAACGAAACGAATTTAAATGACCCAATCCGAGATTAAATGAATCATTAGATTTAAAACTCATTAATTACAAAAAATAAAAGAATTAAGACAATTATAATAAATTCAGGATAATTTAATGTAAAGCACACCTCATCAGAGACCGTTCAGAACTTATTTTCGTGTCGCGAGTGATTTCGTAATTTATAGTGACTGACCTTTGTAAATATTTGTGTAGACTATTGATTTTATTTGTGCAAGATTTGTATCTGTACTTCTGTAATTAATTAATACGAAGGACCAAAAATGGAGATTGATTACACAATCATAAAGTGTTATATCGAAAAAAAGGCACACTGTTCATTGTATATAGTTTACACAAATCTCATGCCGTATTTCATGCATTTCAAATTTATGACGACACCGTCGACCTCAGATGAGTCGAATACTTTGGTCCGGTCCCTTCGACTTCGACACAACGAGGTTTGACTGTATATAGTTGGCTATTAAAGGCCACGACATGAAAAATGAAAAACAATTCATACCAGAGAACTAATGGCATAATTAAAGACAAAACAAATTATGAAAGCAAATATGACAAACAAGAACCAAAGACAACCACTGACTTAGGACAGGTACTTAAAGAATGTAGCATGCACGGTTAAACAAGAGTGTGAATATGATATTTTGATATATTTGCTTTTTGTTTATTTGATATGTCTTTTTCAGAGGCCTGTAACTATTTACTTGTGTATGAATATGTCCCTGACTTTGATACTGATGCATGGGCTGCATTTAAACGAGGTTTGGCAACAAAAAGTATCAAGAAAGATACTAGTGATGATGAAGACGATGAAGAAGAAGAAAAAAAGAAAAAATCCAAGAAAAGTCACAATAAAACTCTCTTGCTTGGAGGAAGAAAAGATGGCTACATTTGTGTTTTTGATTGGATTACAGGAAAAGTAACATTTAAAGTTGATGTAAGATATTTTTCAATTATTGTAAAATCAGGTCTATAGATATAAGAAGATGTGGTATGAGTGCAAAGGGACAACTCTCCATCCAAGTAGTCAATATCTAGTTCGTTAGATCAGCTACATGTTATATAAATTCATCAAGAAAAAACATTTCGTTCATGAAAGTTGCGTACAGCATCAAACAGCTTGCATCCAGATGTGTATTTACATTGCAAACATTGTATGTTAGTTGTACTTTTATACTCCTGCTCAACAGAGTCTGGGTATATAAGAATCCTCATGTCTGTCTGTCTGTCTGTCCATCCATCTGTCTGTCTGTCTGTCCATCCATCTGTCTGTCACACTTTTGTTTTTTTTAGATTAGTTGAGATTTTAAAGGAATGGAATATTTTGGACCACTAAAGACAGGTTAAACTTGATTTTCGTTGTTTTCATCGTACTGCAACCCGAGTTATGGCACATGATTGTTTGAAAATTCAAAATTTTGTTGTTTCTGGAGCAAAAATGGAGAAACACTTTTTGAAATTGATTGAAGTTAATTACACTGTTTTGGACCACTAAACACGGGTGAAATTCATTTTTTTGTCGTTTTCACCTCTACTGTTTCATAGTTATGGTACTTGACTGTTGAAAAAATTCAATTTTTTGTAGTTTCTGGATAAAATGATCTCTCAGTTGGTGTGGGAAGGTTAGGGGATCTGTGATCAATAGATTTCAGTCCAGCTGAAAGAAGAATTAATTTTTATGCCCCCACCATAGCAGAGGAGGCATTAAGGCTTACCCTTGTCTGTCTGTACGTCTGTACGTCCATACATACTTCCCGATTTATTTCTGTTCTCTAACTTTAGTTTTGCCTGAACTTAATGTTATGAAACTTATATAAAATACTTAATACCACAAAACTCAGATCAAGTTCGAATTTGGGTGGCTTCACTTTTACCGTTATGCCCCTTTATAACGTTACATGCAAGCAGGGCCATCATCTGTGTCCGATGGACACATTCTCCATTCATTTCATCTTCATTTAAAAATAAAAATATCAGGTCATGAGTTGCAATTGAATGCTATAGAAGGTAACTTTATCCTTTAACAAACTTTAAAAAATGAACCTTGCAACACAGGTCCAGACATGGTATTGGTATTTTTTTTAAGATAGCAGGATATAAATAACATTTTGAAATATATAAAAAATTGTGTCCTTTTATATTTATACATGCCATACTACCTTAAATCTCAAAAGCTATTTTAATTATTACTTTTTTTAAATTTTAGGCTCATGGATCTAAAGGAGTATTGAGTATGATTGCCAACTCTAAACAAGATCTGGTTATCTCTGCTGGCATGGGTAAAATGTTTAACTTTGGAATTATTTGTTTGTTTTGTAGGAGTACTCTTAACAAAAAAATAAAAAATATAAATAAAAGATAAGCTTTTAATATTTTATATTAATATTGATCAAATGAATATGTGTTTATTGCTTTCATTATATTTATCCGAAGATGCAAGGATGCTTCATTAATTAAGATAAAAAAGTAAAATTGGAATAAGTTTTAAGAAGTACGAATAAAATACTGCAAAATGCATTAAACCAGCTGAAAGTATGGAAATAAATAGGTTTATAATGCAACTGAATGCTTGTTTCATTCCTCCAAATGTTATTGCATCATTTCAAAGATTGATTTATTTTTCAGATAACTTCATCAAAGTTTGGAGGTTATATCCATTTGCAGAGGAAGCATTAGCTCCCTTAATGGAGCCTCTGTTTTGTGCTCAGACTCCAATCCATATGACCATGCTGAAGACCAATCTGTGTGTAGCATTACAACAACAGACCACAGCTACTTACTGTATAGTTATATACAACTTGAAGGACAGAAGTAAGTCTTACATATATTATATTTAATGTAACTTTTCCCTCTGGACAGAAATTTATGGTTCATGTTTCTGAGTAAGAAATTAATTTCATTTAAGGCCATAAAAAGTTTACATTCTAATAAATTTCTAACAGTATAATTTGGAATAGTTATATGATAAAAAATTTGTGGCTAACAATTTTCTTTGCGGAGTGAGAAAAAGGTATTTGTTGGGAATTTGAAAATTTTGCTGTGCAAGTATATAAAAAGAAAAGACACAGCCAAAAATGAAAATTTAACAAAAAATAATATCCATATATGAAAACTACTGTATTCCATATTTAATCTTGTGCATTTTACATTTTGTAAGGGTTCCGCGGAACCCAGTGTCTCGCCTACTTTTTCTGTTAATCGCAGGCTCAACAAAAATGAGGAAGTAAATCAATAAAAATATTCCTCTTGATACTATCTTTTGATTGTAAGAAGCATCTGTCCAAGTTTGGTAAAAATCCAGGATAGTTTATGAATCTAATAAATGTTTAAAAACTTTAACTGCAGACTGAATGTAATGTTAACTGGAAGAAAACAAAATTTCCTTCTAGATACTAGCATTTGATCATAAACAAACTTCTGTCCAAGTTTGGTACAAATCCAAAATAGTATAAGAAAGTTATTAAAATTTTAAAAACTTTAACCACAGAGTGAATATGTTGTTTCCTGGCAGAAAATCTAAGTCCATTTTAAAGTAAAATACGGAAAAAATGGATTTATTTTTTTACAAAATTTACTTCTAGATACTAGCTTTTGATCATAAACAAGCTTCTGTCCAAGTTTGGTACAAATCCAAAATAGTATAAGAAAGTTATTAAAATTTTAAAAACTTTAACCACAGAGTGAATGTGTTGTTTCCTGGCAGAAAATCTAAGTCCATTTAAAAGTAAAATACGGAAAAAAATGGATTTATTTTTTTACAAAATTTACTTCTAGATACTATCTTATGATCATAAACAAGCTTCTGTCCAAGTTTGGTACAAACCCAGGATAGTTTAAGAAAGTTATTAAAATTTTAAAAACTTTAACCACAGAGTGAATGTAATATTTCCCGGCAGAAAAACTAAGTCCATTTATAAGTAAAATACGGAAAAAATGGAATTTTATTTTTACAAAATTTACTTCTGGATACTATCTTATGATCATAAACAAGCTTCTGTCCAAGTTTGGTAGAAATCCAGGATAGTTTAAGAAAGTTATTAAAATTTCAAAAACTCTAACCACAGAGTGAATATTTGTGGACGCCGCCGCCGTCGCCGACAAAGCCGACGGAATGTAGGATTGCTATGTCTCGCTTTTTCGACTAAAGTCGAAGGCTCGACAAAAATGATATACCCACTTGTGGTGTCTGTATATAAGTAGATGTAACTACCTTGTTAACCATCTTCATACTGTTGTCAGAGAAATGTTAGATAGATTTTTAATGAAGTAATACTGTTCTGGTATAACTGGTATTAGTATTTTTCATGGTTGACTCAAACCTTGAAATGATATTTTTCTACATAATACAAATTTTCAAAGATGTGTTTTGTTATACCAGAAATTAAAGATCCCATGAACTAGGTTATATTCAGCAAACCACAATAATTGTTGACGCACATGAATGTTTTAAGTTGTTTCACAGTATTTTAAAAACATATGAAGTTGGTTAGCATCAAATGTTTTCCTTCAATATTAAAATTATTTGATATGTATAATGTATAGAAAACCTAACTAAAAATAAACATATTGTAATGTAAATTTAGCTCACCAGCAAGGCAAAGCTGACTTAAAAGCAACCGCTGAGGTTTTAAATAGTAAGTCAGAAAGAGGAGATAATTTTGTTTCACCATGGTTTTGAAAAGTTGAAAAGAAAAAAGACCTTATCTGTTGTAAATATTCTGAATAATTATTTGCTGAATTGTTTTGAGAAACTTTTCAATTTTAATTCTACATTAGTATCGGTATTCTTTTGAATGATCTACAGAAGTATTGACTAATAATTATTTTATTCCAAAAATGATTCTTGACCATTCATATTCGACTTTTGAAAACCTGTCTGTATTTTGAAGAGTATTTGCTTGAAAAGTAAAACCTTAGCATCTATTGAATTTCCAGTGAATTGGTCGATTTGTCTATGGTTCATGACTACAACACCCTTAAGATATGAAAAAGCTTATAATGGTATTACAATTTTTCAATTACATAATGTTAAAATTCCATGTTTAGTTTAGAACCATTAGGAATTTTTAAATCTTAGTAAGACCTTTTTTAATTAAAGGTCATTGCCAATAGTATTGTTCAATTTATATAATGGTATTCCGAAAAAAGTTAATTTTAGATTTTAACACTTTTACAAAATTTTGAAGATTGCAGTAAAAATCCTTTGCTCTGAAATCATTTTATTTTAATAGTAAATGTTTCTTTATCAATTGCATTTTCTTTATACTTTGCATTATAATATAATGACTGAAAGAGAGAATGACAGCGTCATGTGATACATCTTATTGAATTGAGGGTATTCAAAGATTGTTTTAAGACTTAACCTTTCAAGCATTTACCACAGAAGAATGTTACACATTTGTTTTTATGACAGGAATGCATTGTTTTGTTCAAAAAAGAATTTGTTTACACTTGTTATTGGTCCCGTACACAATAATATACACATACACTTGATCCTTGTGTCATTCCAATGCACATTAACTGGATAATCTACAAACAAAAACATAGTTACAGTCTGGTCAGTGCTATATTTAATGACCTATACATGTTATGTCAGACAAACTGAGAATTGAATGTTTTTTGTTTGTACTTAATCCAGTATATGTTAATTACACATATTTACATGTCCATTGAATTTAATATATTTTATTCCACTTTTCAGTTTTTAACATGCCCAAAGATCAAACAGGTTACCTTTTTGCACTTGCCAATTTATTTTACCTAAACTATATATAGTAAACATTCAAAGGATATTGTAGTACATTAAAATTGTACGTCTTTAGTAGGCCATGTTTTTGTATATATAGAATTTTATATAGATTTACTAAAAGCTAATTCTAAATTTACAGAAGTCTTGTTTGACTATTTAATGAAAAGCTTTTTCTAAATGATTATTCATGACATAGGAAAAGTACGATAGACAAACATGCATTTTTATCAAAGAACATTAAAATTTTTGTTTTTTATTCTACATCATAAAGTTTTCCTTTGAATGTTTACCTATCTGTGTTCTGCCTTTATTCTTTCTGAACCTTTGTAGATATATAAATTTTCTTGTAGTATTATTATATTGATGACTCGGTTACAGCAAGTTAATATAAAGGATTGTTAAAAATAAGACTCGTGTGGCTTGTGTGATTCAAAAAATAGAATTTTACTTTTTACCTGTGTGGTAGTATAAGTTGTCTGTGGCAGATATATTGCTTGCTTAATTTATTTTAAGTTGCATTGTGAATTTGCACCTTTTTTCATACAAGGTAGAATCTTATTTTTACTGGTGGATTTTTAGGCTGGAAAATCACTTGCATAAGTACTACTTTCTTAGTGTTATCCTGTCAAGCAGATTCATGGACCATACTACCAAAAAAAAAAAACAGGATATGGAAAACAGATTAATCTAGAAATGAAGAAGAAAGATTTAATTTGAATACTTGGTTGTTTGAATTGTCGGTTTTACTATCACAAACATAGTTTTGAAAGAAAATTCATAGATTTAATTTGAATATTTGGTTGTATCAATTGTCAGTTTTACTGTCACAAAAATGCTTTGAAATAAGATGAAACTTTTAATCAAATAAAGGATAATCTAGATAGCATCTGTCTGTTCTGTATAACAATAGGGTTCTGTATAACAATAGGGTTCTGTATAACAATAGGGTTCTGTATAACAATAGGGTTCTGTATAACAATAGGGTTCTGTATAACAATAGGGTTCTGTATGACAATAGGGTTCTGTATAACAATAGGGTTCTGTATGACAATAGGGTTCTGTATAACAATAGGGTTCTGTATGACAATAGGGTTCTGTATAACAATAGGGTTCTGTATAACAATAGGGTTCTGTATAGGTTCTGTATAACAATAGGGTTCTGTATGACAATAGGGTTCTGTATAACAATAGGGTTCTGTATAACAATAGGGTTCTGTATAACAATAGGGTTCTGTATAACAATAGGGTTCTGTATAACAATAGGGTTCTGTATAACAATAGGGTTCTGTATAACAATAGGGTTCTGTATAGGTTCTGTATAACAATAGGGTTCTATATAGGTTCTGTATGACAATAGGGTTCTGTATAACAATAGGGTTCTGTATAACAATAGGGTTCTATATAGGTTCTGTATGACAATAGGGTTCTGTATAACAATAGGGTTCTGTATAACAATAGGGTTCTGTATAGGTTCTGTATAACAATAGGGTTCTATATAGGTTCTGTATGACAATAGGGTTCTGTATAACAATAGGGTTCTATATAACAATAGGGTTCTGTATAACAATAGGGTTCTGTATAACAATAGGGTTCTATATAACAATAGGGTTCTGTATAACAATAGGGTTCTGTATAACAATAGGGTTCTGTATAACAATAGGGTTCTATATAGGTTCTGTATGACAATAGGGTTCTGTATAACAATAGGGTTCTATATAACAATAGGGTTCTATATAACAATAGGGTTCTGTATAACAATAGGGTTCTGTATAACAATAGGGTTCTATATAACAATAGGGTTCTGTATAACAATAGGGTTCTGTATAACAATAGGGTTCTGTATAACAATAGGGTTCTGTATAGGTTCTGTATAACAATAGGGTTCTATATAGGTTCTGTATAACAATAGGGTTCTGTATAACAATAGGGTTCTGTATAACAATAGGGTTCTGTATAACAATAGGGTTCTGTATAGGTTCTGTATAACAATAGGGTTCTGTATAGGTTCTGTATAACAATAGGGTTCTGTATAACAATAGGGTTCTGTATAGGTTCTGTATAACAATAGGGTTCTGTATAACAATAGGGTTCTGTATAACAATAGGGTTCTATATAACAATAGGGTTCTGTATAACAATAGGGTTCTGTATAACAATAGGGTTCTATATAACAATAGGGTTCTGTATAACAATAGGGTTCTGTATAACAATAGGGTTCTGTATATAACAATAGGGTTCTGTATAACAATAGGGTTCTGTATAACAATAGGGTTCTGTATAGGTTCTGTATAACAATAGGGTTCTGTATAGGTTCTGTATAACAATAGGGTTCTGTATAACAATAGGGTTCTGTATAGGTTCTGTATAACAATAGGGTTCTGTATAACAATAGGGTTCTGTATAACAATAGGGTTCTGTATAGGTTCTGTATAACAATAGGGTTCTGTATAGGTTCTGTATAACAATAGGGTTCTGTATAACAGTAGGGTTCTGTATAGGTTCTGTATAACAATAGGGTTCTGTATAGGTTCTGTATAACAATAGGGTTCTGTATAGGTTCTGTATAACAATAGGGTTCTGTATAACAATAGGGTTCTGTATAACAATAGGGTTCTGTATAGGTTCTGTATAACAATAGGGTTCTGTATAACAATAGGGTTCTGTATAACAATAGGGTTCTGTATAACAATAGGGTTCTGTATAGGTTCTGTATAACAATAGGGTTCTGCATAACAATAGGGTTCTGTATAGGTTCTGTATAACAATAGGGTTCTGTATAGGTTCTGTATAACAATAGGGTTCTGTATAGGTTCTGTATAACAATAGGGTTCTGTATAGGTTCTGTATAACAATAGGGTTCTGTATAACAATAGGGTTCTGTATAACAATAGGGTTCTGTATAGGTTCTGTATAACAATAGGGTTCTGTATAACAATAGGGTTCTGTATAACAACAGGGTTCTGTATAACAATAGGGTTCTGTATAACAATAGTGTTCTGTATAACAATAGGGTTCTGTATAGGTTCTGTATAACAATAGGGTTCTGTATAACAATAGGGTTCTGTATAACAATAGGGTTCTGTATAGGTTCTGTATAACAATAGGGTTCTGTATAGGTTCTGTATAACAATAGGGTTCTGTATAGGTTCTGTATAACAATAGGGTTCTGTATAACAATAGGGTTCTGTATAACAATAGGGTTCTGTATAGGTTCTGTATAACAATAGGGTTCTGTATAGGTTCTGTATAACAATAGGGTTCTGTATAACAATAGGGTTCTGTATAGGTTCTGTATAACAATAGGGTTCTGTATAACATTCTGTATAACAATAGGGTTCTGTATAACAATAGGGTTCTGTATAACAATATGGTTCTGTATAACAATAGGGTTCTGTATAACAATAGGGTTCTGTATGACAATAGGGTTCTGTATAACAATAGGGTTCTGTATAACAATAGGGTTCTGTATGACAATAGGGTTCTCTATAACAATAGGGTTCTGTATAACAATAGGGTTCTGTAGAACATTAAACAATAGGGTTCTGTATAACAATAGGGTTATGTCTCATTTCTAACTTTAATATCCTGTAGAAACTCTCCTATCAGAGAAGGAAGAAAGTAAGTATTTACTGAGGCCACATCAAATTCATTTCTCATTCTTTGGGTTTTAAGCTTTGTGAAAATTGCAATTTATTTCCTGCATCAATTTCAGAAATTCTAAAATACAGCTACACATCAACTGCTTATCAAGATCTAATGAGTAAGAACATTGGCATAAAAAGAAGAAGCTTTCTTTTAAATACTGAAGTCTGACATTTACTTTTGTTATATAGTTTTGACAAAAGACTGGAATTGAGGAAATGCTATATCAAACTCAATTTGTAATGCAAATATCCAAAGAAACTCAAAATTAGATTGATGTGGCCTAATGTATAGGTTGGATTACACTGTTTTGGGAGCATGGAATATGTAATATGTGTGTTTCCAATCCTTTTCATTGGAAGTTCTGACTTTGCGTTAAAACAGCCAGAATTTAACAGTAATTATGCAAACTAAATAATAAATATGGCAAGGGAACATGATATGAATATTCATAATTTATAGTAAACTCTCTTTCAAATCTTGTCAAACCATTTCTCATTGTCTCAATATTATGGATTATTGTCTGTCAGTGTGTTTTCATTCTTAGAAGGTTGTGTTGCTGGTGGTTGGTACATTTTTAGGTGTTATCAAAATCTTTCTTATATTCTCAAATATATTATGTTTTTAGCAATGTTTTGAAGTGTGTCTACATATTTGATAGAATATAAGAAAGTTCATTGATATTTATTGTCTTGCTCATGTTACAGGAAATAATCCATCATCATCCCAGACATATATTTTTTTTTTTTATTTTACTGACAACCCCTCCCACAGTCCACCAAACCCCCCATAAAAAGGGAATAAAATTGATTTAGTACTTTTGACTAATTAGCTACAACAGGAACAGGAGACAATACAAAACATTTTTAAGTTAGAAATGTCTGCCCATGGATAAAATATCTACTTAGTTTTTTATATGGTAAGGTAATGCTTTGACAGGAACAGTTTGGCATTTAGCTACATGTTCATTTCCTCAAGTGAAATACCTTTAGGATTATGAAGTTCTCCAACAGTTCATAGCAGGTCCTTGAATAATCTAATGTCAGCATCAATTTTCTGTTAGTATTAGTATTATTCTCTTGTTTATCAAATTGTTCTGCATCATTTTGCTCCATGTTGACAATTATCTTCCCTACAGGTCTGTTATTGTTGTTAGGAACACTATGGTGTCATTGTGAACAGGGCAAAGTTATTGGATATTTGATCCAGGCATTGGTACGGATCATGGATAAGTTCAGTTATCACATAGTTTAAATCATATGATTTCCACTGAAATATGTGATAAAATGTTGATATTGCATACTGTTTGTACATAATGCTTTATATATAAAATGATTGATTTTGAAAATTAACCAGTTGTGATCTATATGTATAGTTTTGTTGTTTTATGTGTTTTGCTTAATAATATATTAAAGCATTATAAGTTTCTGTAATCCTATCAGCAATAATGATTTATTTACATTGATAATCGATGATATTAAATTTTCTTTAAATAATAAAAAAAAAGTGTTTTGAAGATTCATAGAAGTGTCAAGGAATGAATATTATTGTTATTTGTATTTTTGTGTTCACAAATTTGCCAGGAATTATTGAATTTGAATATCAATAATTGAGAGACAATCTGTAATGGAAAAAAAAATATACAGAAATATTTTGATGCTAGAACTTGATATTACATGGAAAGACAACCTAATGAACATAACATATTCATTTACAGAAAAATAACTCAAACATGTATTATATTCAGGATTAATATACTATCATTATAATATGACATATTAAGTAACAGTAATGAATTGTTATTTGCAGATCGATTTGACCATTCCCCAGATGAAGACCATAATGACTCTATAACAGGCCTAACTAGCTGTCCAAGGCTTAAGTTGTATGCTTCTGGTGGTATGGATGGAACCATACGTATCTGGAATGATGAAAATCAACTGATCAGGTTAGTAGTGACACTGTGACCTCAGACTAAAGTCTCTAGTGGTATGTTTTGAATTTGACATATCTTGAATGAGGAAAATCAGCTGACCAAGTTAGTAGTGACACTGTGACCTCAGAATTAAGTCTCTGGTGGTATGTTTTGAATTTAACATATCTCGAATGAGGAAAATCAGCTGACCAAACTAGTAGTGACACTGTGACCTCAGACTAAAGACTCTGGTGGTATGTTTTGAACCTTACATATCTCGAATGAGGAAAATCAGCTGACCAGGTACCAGTTAGTAGTGTCATGGTGTCTCAAAAGGAAGCTTCTTTTGGTATAAACAGAACTATAACTATCTGAAAGGATTAAAATCAACTGATTATTCTAGTAGTGTGATAGTGTCCTCAGACTAAAGCCTATTTTGATATAGATGGTACAATTTGTATCAGGAAGTAGTAAAATCCAGTTCAGGTTAATTGTGTTTGTAACATGATGTATCAGATTCATGACAGTTAATGTCTTAAGCTCACCAAAGATTTATTAATTATTTACAGGTTACTGAGGTTAAAGACTATGCCTTACAGTTTAGGGTTCTGTTGTGAGAAGGGAGAATTATTGTTATAGTCTCACCAATGTACTTATCTATTTATAGGTTACTAAAGTTAAAGACTATGCCATACAGTCTAGGGTTCTGTAGTGAGAAGGGAGATTTATTGTTATAGTCTCACCAATGTATTTATCTATTTATAGGTTACTAAAGTTGAAGACTATGCCATACAGTCTAGGGTTCTGTAGTGAGAAGGGAGATTTATTGGTTGGCATTGGAAACCACTTGTACCTTATCCCTCATCAACATTGTAAGTTTAAAATTAAAATGCCCTTTTTAGATATTAAAGTACATTGAAATGCCAAATTTCCTTTATGTTAAAGGGGCACTAGCTACGAGATATATAAAAAATTCGTAAGGGTTCCACGGAACCCAGTGTCTCGCCTACTTTTTCTGTTAATCACAGGCTCAACAAAAATGAGGAAGTAAATCAATAAAAATATTCCTCTTGATACTATCTTTTGATTGTAAGAAGCATCTGTCCAAGTTTGGTAAAAATCCAGGATAGTTTATGAATCAAATAAATGTTTAAAAACTTTAACTGCAGACTGAATGTAATGTTAACTGGAAGAAAACAAAATTTCCTTCTAGATACTAGCATTTGATCATAAACAAGCTTCTGTCCAAGTTTGGTACAAATCCAAAATAGTATAAGAAAGTTATTAAAATTTTTAAAACTTTAACCACAGAGTGAATATGTTGTTTCCTGGCAGAAAATCTAAGTCCATTTAAAAGTGAAATACGGAAAAAATGGATTTATTTTTTTACAAAATTTCCTTCTAGACTAGCTTTTGATCATAAACAAGCTCAGCTTCTGTCCAAGTTTGGTACAAATCCAAAATAGTATAAGAAACTTATTAAAATTTTAAAAACTTTAACCACAGAGTGAATGTGTTGTTTCCTGGCAGAAAATCTAAGTCCATTTAAAAGTAAAATAAGGAAAAAATGGATTTATTTTTTTACAAAATTTACTTCTATATACTATCTTATGATCATAAACAAGCTTCTGTCCAAGTTTGGAACAAACCCAGGATAGTTTAAGAAAGTTATTAAAATTGTAAAAACTTTAACCACAGAGTGAATGTAATATTTCCCGGCAGAAAAACTAAGTCCATTTATAAGTAAAATACGGAAAAAATGGAATTTTTTTTTACAAAATTTACTTCTGGATACTATCTTATGATCATAAACAAGCTTCTGTCCAAGTTTGGTAGAAATCCAGGATAGTTTAAGAAAGTTATTAAAATTTCAAAAACTTTAACCACAGAGTGAATATTTGTGGAAGACGCCAACGGAATGTAGGATCGCTATGTCTCACTTTTTCGACTAAAGTCGAAGGCTCAACAAAAATCTAAAATAGGATTTTTTTTGTTCAATCATTAATGAAAGTGAAATAGTGAGATAATAATTCGCTTTTAGCAGCAAGTATGGTTCAATTTTGACAAAATGAGCTAAGAAACATTGAAGATTAGTTATTCACTTGCAAGTGAATAATTCGACCTCATTGAATCCGTATTCATGTGAACTTCAATTTAACCCCTTGGCTAGAGATGGATAACGCATGAATCGTGTGTGATCAGTCATTTAAAGGAAAAGAATGTCAACATTGAAAGTGAAACAAAGGTAAATCATTTGATTGACTGATTCGATCGACAAAAAATCATGCTTATACAGGTAAAAACGATGATTAACATATATTTTTAATCTATAATATGAAATTGAATAGACCTAGAAAAATCCAATTGCACGAGTTAGCTTAATCTATTTATATCTATATTTATGTTTATATACCTTATATGGCCATTGGTGGTTTTCGGAGGTCAACCCGATAGTTAATTAGATGGCGTCTAGACTAAAATACACAGGAAACAAAGCTACATATTATTGAGCCCATGCTCTGTAAATTGTTTATTTTAGACTTTTAATGATTTGGATAAATGTTTTACATTGATATTAATCAAATATGAGAATTTGAGTCAAATCGGTGAACATGAATTTGACAGCTAGTGCCCCTTTAATGATGTGAAGGTAAACATTGGATTGTCTCAAAGATTAACGTAAAGAAGTTTCTTGTGCTGGATGGCTTATAATTTTTCTATTATTTAACTTTTGAATTTATTGCTTAGTTATATTCACAGTCAGTGTCACCTGATTTGACCTATTTTTCATGCTCCAGTGGTCTAGTAAAGTTTTTGTCGAGCCTGCGACTTTTGTCGCAGAAAGCTCGACATAGGGATAGTGATCCGGCGGGGGCGTTAGCTAACTTCTTAAAAGCTTTATATTTTAGATGCTAGAAGACTTGGATGCTTCATACTTTGTATATAGATGCCTTATGTTACGAAGTTTCCGTCTGTCATATGTCCATTGTCCTTGACCTCATTTTCATGGTTCAGTGACTACTTGAAAAAAAAGTCTACTTTTTTTGTAATGTTAATTTCTTTCTTATTATGAGTAATAGGATAACTATATTTAGTATGTGCGTACCTTGCAAGGTTCTCATGCCCGTCAGACAATTTTCATTTGACCTCGACCTCATTTCATGGATCAGTGAACAATGTTAAGTTTTTGTGGTCAAGTCCATATAGCAGATACTATTAGCAGTAGGTCTACTATATTTGGTATATGGAATGATTGTAAGGTGTACATGTCCAACTGGTAGGTGTCATCTGACCTTGACCTCATTTTCATGGTTCAGTGGTCAAAGTTAAGTTTTTGAGTTTTGGTCTTTTTTTCTAATACTATATGCAATAGGTCAACTATATTTGGTGTATGGAAATATTTTATGATGTACATGTCAGTCTCGTAGGTTTTATTTGACCTTGACCTCATTTTCACGATTCATTTCTCAGTGTTAAGTTTTTGTGTTTTGGTCTGTTTTTCTTCAACTATAAGCAATAGATCAACTATATTTGTTGTATGGAAGGATTGTAAGGTGTATATGTCTGTCTGGCAAGTATCATCTGACCTTGACCTCATTTTCATGGTTCATTGGTCAATGTTAAGTTTTCATGGTTAAGTTTGTTTCTTAGATACTATAAGCAATAGGTCAACTATATTTAATGCATAAATTGATTGTAAGGTGTACATGTCTGTCTGGCAAGGTTCATCTGACCTTGACCTCATTTTCATGGTTCATTGGTCAATGTTAAGTTTTCTTGGTTAAGACTGTTTCTTAGAAACTATAAGCAATAGGTCAACTATGTTTGGTTTATTGAATGATTGTAAGGTGTACATGTATTTCTCGTTTGGTTTATCTGACCTTGACCTCATTTTCTTGGATCATGTTAAGTTTATGTGTTATTTGTAGTAAAGCGTTATATTTAGGACTATCAACATAAAATCAATGGTTAGTAAAGAAGGCGAGACATTTCAGCTTGTGCACTCTTGTTAGGATTAGGTGTGTCACTCAATAATTTAATTTTGGATGTAAAATGTCTTCTGATTGGCTGAAAGTGTTTGCAATATTCGTTATAACAAGCATATGTCTGACATATGTCATATTGCTTTGGCCTCATTTTAGTTCTCTTTTCTCTCTTTTTTTTTTTAACTTTTCTTACTATTGGTTAATTTCAATATGTATTCAAGAAATTGTTCAAATGCACTTATGTCTGTATGGGGAAAAAACCAACATAATGCCCATTTATTCAGAAGGTCAAATTTAATCAGATGATGAACAATTGCTTCATGGAGTAACAAGTAAGGATTTTTCTCTAACAAAAGGACTTATACATAGAATATAAAAATATTTAGCAATGTTAAAACACAGAAATATTGCTTCCTTTAAGACCTTCCAAAAGGATACAGATTGAAGATGGTTTCTATGAAGTTTGTCCAACCAAAGAAAGAACAGCCTTTACCCTTTGATGCATTGAAACTAAAGACACTGTCAAAGAGAGACTTTACTAGAATAAAGAAATCACATTCATCATTCAAGTAAGTATATTCTAATAAAATGAATATAAAACTTTATAATTTAATTTTGGATGTAACGCGTCTTCCGATTGACTGATGTTGTTTTATTTATCAGCTCATAGACATATAGTTTTGTCATGTGACCGTGACGTCATCATGGTTTACTACGGTTTAAAATGGAATTTAGAATTAAATTATAAGAAAAAACTTTAATATTTTTTCTGTCTATTTGAAATAACATAAAAAAATGTGGTGCACACTTTAAAATAACACGCTACAAGGGTTATTCAGTGTGCACCACATTTTTGATGTTATTTCTTCATAGACAGAAAAAATATTACAGTCATTCCTTAAATAAATTTGATGTGTCTCAAATGTTTTTATAAATTTGCCTTCATCAGGAATGCTCAAACCCAGACATTCCTAAAGCTTGGGATATGATATAAGTACTTTAATTAATAAAAGGGCCCTTAAAAGATTAGCCATTGGTTATATTATTGAAAGAAATAGTCAAAATTTCAAGTTGCTTAATGCTAAGTATGACAAGCCTGAATACCTCTTCATGGAGCATCATTTAAGTTGAATTATTTTATTATACCCCAACTATATAGTGGGGGCTATTTTGCATTTACCTGGTCTGTCCATCTGTTTGTCCATCCATTTGTCTAACAAATAATTCTGTAATACTTTTCTTAAGTACAGCTGTACAGAATAACTTTATATTTAATCAGAAGCTTGACAATGATGAGTTGTAACCTAAGACCACTTTTTGGAACTGTTGGACACCTACTTCCTGTCTTGATATTTTGAGGTTTTAAATATGTTGAATGAACTTAAAAATTTTCGTCACTTTATTCTCAATTACATGTACTACTGAACAGAATTACTTGAAATTTTGTCATCAGCTTGGCAATGATGAGTTGTCATTTGTCAGAAACGAACTTTCTGTCAACAGATATTCAGAATTAATAGTTGTACGATGTGTGTAGTCTTCTTGTAATTCAGAATTTACAAAATGTTTCTTGAATCAAAATTTTTGGCCAATCAGTTCAGCATATTGATTATTTCCACTGTAGATATGATCATTTTGAGGACAAACTCACTCCAGAGGAGGAGGAAGAGGTAACTAGAGAAAAGAAAATAAAAGAAGCAGCTTTTGCTGTGTTATCAAAGAGAGATTATGAACTACAGAAAATAAGGGAAGGTGAATTTGCTGCCAAGAAACCAAAGCTGATGACACAGGAAGAACAAGATAGAGCATTTAAGAACTACATGAAGATGTTTTATGACAAACCTAGGTTAACAGTAAGTTGATCTGATTAAATTTTCTTCATTTAGCTGTTCTCTGCAGGTGGCCATTTCAAATAAGCAAGAGGTGGTTTATTTCTTTTTTTATTGACATTATTTCTATTACAAATATTTAAAGGTTTTGGATGTATATTTTTTGGGAAAGAAATTAAGATAGTTTCCCAATTATACACATGGCTTGGGTTTTAAATATATATTGTTATATTTCTCAGGTTTTTATATCTTAAAGTTTAAATATTTTTTTCATCAGAATGCACTCCAATCAAAACAGTGGAAATCAATTACAAAGTTGAAAAGCCTTTAAATTCTGTGATGATCAATATATCACTTTAAAAAGTAGCTTAGTTAAATCCTTGCAGACACTAAGGTTTTTGTACTATTGGCACAAATGACCATAGCCAGATTTTTCACAACTTGTAGGAAGAATTGGCATTTAGTTCTCTTCAACTTTATTATTGATTTCCAACTATTTTGATTGGAATGCATTCTGATGATTTTTTTTTTATAATTGTATTAAGAACAGCATATTATATATTTGTTTTGTAATTTACAGATTCCACCAGATGACCCATTTCCCAGTGATACTGCTAGTGATTACATGAGGAGAGGTGAAATAGACGAAGGTAAATGTTTACGGTGATATTTTAATAATATTACATTACTACATTAGTTATATATTAATTCTAATTCTATTTCTATCCTACAAATGCATCGGATAAAAATTCTAAAACTTTTAAGCTTTATGATATCATAGAAATTATCTTTGCTTTCTTGATTCTCATCAAAATCAATTTAATAATCTGAATTCATAAATACTTTTTGGGTACCAGTTTGGGTATTAGTTTTCAAGGAACTTGTGGGTAGAGGGGAAACCTTAAATTTAAAGACTTATTGATATTCAAATTTTTAGTGACTTTGCTTGAAGCTAATGATGAAAGCATGAAATTGTAGAATATGGAATTTGATAGAGTTTCTGGATATTTGTTATCTGTCCAAACTGAACCCTTTTTAAGCCTATATCTGCATTGTGATACTTCATCTTAAGGGCTATTCCATTAAAATGTATGTGGGAGGGTAGGAAGGGACTTTCAAAATATCCCTACAACCAAGAACCATTTTTTAGATAATTTTGCATAATGGTAATAGACGCATACTGAAAAAAGACCCATGACCCACATTCAATAATTAAACTTCCCTCCCTACCCTCCCACATACATTTTAATGGAATAGCCCTAAGTGAATTAACCTGTGGAAACCAGAAACCTTTTTAATCTGATCAGACCAGGAAAGAAGTTTTGTTTATGTATGATCTTTATTATAAATACATACATAGAAATATGAATACCATCTTCAGTCTAACACTTAACAATAAGCTTACATGCTGACTATTCTGAAGAATGTTACAACTTATATTGTAAACCTGCTAATTATCATGAGTCAGTTATTTATTCAGCTTTGAAAATGAAGAAAATAACTTTAGATATTGTTGTGAATGAGTCAAGTTCTGATGTTCACTTATTAAAGTTCATCAACTTAAATCAGCAAATCTCAAAATTAATCTATGTTAAGTTGGCTAAAAGTTGGCTAAAGGGCTTAAGACATTAAAAAAATATTTGCATAAAATTTGGTTTTCAGTAAATAAGTAGTGATTTACAAAATCTTTCATTTTAATATATTTAATGAAGATTTTTAAACTTATTATCATAATAACAAAAATATTTAATTTCTATAGCTGCTAAACAGATCAGTAAGTAATAACACATATTTGTGTATGTACACACGTATATATGTATGTATTCCTGGCTTTTAGATAGATCCTATTTCTATCTTATTATTTTACTTCTTAGGGAGGCTTATGTCTCTTTAGTCCTACCTCTTTCATGACTATATTGTATGGGTATTGTTTCGATTTATATTATTTATATATTCAGTAACGCAGATACATTGTTATATCTGCAAAATAATTGCAGTAACGTGGTACGGTACAGTTTTATTAATTGTCAATTTGGTTTCTGTGTAATAAATGTTGTTATATAATGGACCAATAATGCTGAAATTTTCACAATTAGATAAGGTGTAAATTTCCTTGAATACAAATAAATTTAATGAGAAAAATTGTTCAAAACCAGGATAACAATAGAATACAGAATTTACTTATTTTTGTTTAATTATGTTCATTTTAGGTAGTTTTTGTTGAAGATTTTTTTTTTAGATTTTTTACCTATCTTTTCAAATTAAATTTAACCAAGCTCTCACAATTTCTGAGATACAAGTGGTTAAAGTGACTTAAAGGAAAATGACTCAAAATTAGTAATATTTCTTAGATTTAGTTGAAGTGGATGAAGTTAGCTCTTTCATTTAATTTCTAAGAAAAAAACACCCTTGTAGAGTTTTGTTTTCAGCAGTACTGTAGAAGATATAATTTATCCCACAGATTACTGTGTTAAACACTTTTTTAACACTAAAATTTAATGAATATTCCTTTATGAATTTGGGAAAAGATACCAAAGTGTCAATAAAAAACTAGTAAGTTGACAATAAAACAGACAACTCCATGTCCAAAAGAAACAACAAAATACCAATAAAACCAAACACTACACAGAAAACTAAAGATTGAGCAACATAAACCTCAACAAATACTGGTGTTGAACTCAAGTGACTTTGAAAGGTAATAATTGTAAAATTTGTATTGCGTCCCTGAACAATGTGTTTCACTTCGCATTAATTAATTAGCATATCAACAGTTTCTGAATTTAAAGTATTAAAATTACAAAAGTAAAATGTTTTCAATAGATATCTGCCATACACCAAACACAGAAAATTTCATTTTTAGACACAAATCTGATACATACTTCAGTCACAGAATCTCCTTAATATTAATGACCAGGTATTGTGTGGCCATAAGATCATAAGATTGTATTATATGTTCTCTTTACTGTTATGTGAGTAGCACTAATTGAATTTCTTATTCTAAGATTGTATAGTGTTATAAGGAAGAACTTCTTTCATCTTTCATCATCTTCATCATATGAACATCATTTTGTAGAAGATGAACCGTGGAAACCAGAAAGAGAACCATCAGGTTTCTTCCCACCATTGTCAAGATCCAGTACATTCAGAAAATCACAGGGCACGCCACCAGAGCCACTGCATGCTGCCTATGAGAGTGCTACAAGTAGTGCTGCAAAGAGTGGTCTGGTACCTAACTCTGTATTAACCAAAATACTATGGCCTCCACCACCTCCCCCACCTCCCAAGGATACATGGAAACTCCCCACATTTGAGGACGGCAAGATGGTTGTTCCTGAACCTGAGGAAGAGGTACTGTGTTCATAAAGTAGAAAAATTTTGTTTGAATTACTGTAAATTAAGAAATTATCAGATTATTGTGAGGTTTAGATTAATACAAATAATGTGGCTAGTTGAGATAGCAATACTTAAAGAACTCTCATTCTGATATCTGATGCAGATTTTCCTTAAATTACAATTATTAATCTCACATTTTTGTCCATCCTTCAAAAATCGCAATCATAAATGCAGGCAATAATTTCTGAATTTACATTATATTAGACTGATGACCTTGGTATCATTTTACAAAATTCAGTTTAAATTGTCTTCTTATTAATCCTCCACAAGATATATATCTTATAAGTCTTTATTTAATCCAAATGTCCAGCAGAACATTTCATCTATCGATACTTAAAAATCTCGTGTTTGTTAGACTATTTCTACGGAAAATCCAGTTATTTCAGGTGTTTTGTGGTTGGCTAGCATCCAAAACTCCTATTTTTTTCTAAATAAACTGTTAATTTTATGTTTTTCACACTTAGCCTCAATAGTATACATATTCTATTCTCTATTCAATAATATACATATTCTTTTCTCTATTCAATAATATACATATTCTATCCTCTATTCAATAATATACATATTCTGTTCTCTATTCAATAATATACATATTCTTTTCTCTATTCAATAATATACATATTCTATTCTCTATTCAATAATATACATATTCTTTTCTCTATTCAATAATATACACATTCTTTTCTCTATTCAATAATATACATATTCTATTCTCTATTCAATAATATACATATTCTTTTCTCTATTCAATAATATACATATTCTATTCTCTATTCAATAATATACATATTCTATTCAATAATATACATATTCTATTCTCTATTCAATAATATACATATTCTATTCAATAATATACATATTCTATTCTCTATTCAATAATATACATATTCTATTCAATAATATACATATTCTATTCTCTATTCAATAATATACATATTCTTTTCTCTATTCAATAATATACATATTCTATCCTCTATTCAATAATATACATATTCTTTTCTCTATTCAATAATATACATATTCTATTCTCTATTCAATAATATACATATTCTTTTCTCTATTCAATAATATACATATTCTTTTCTCTATTCAATAATATACATATTCTATTCTCTATTCAATAATATACATATTCTTTTCTCTATTCAATAATATACATATTCTATTCTCTATTCAATAATATACATATTCTTTTCTCTATTCAATAATATACATATTCTATTCTCTATTCAATAATATACATATTCTATTCTCTATTCAATAATATACATATTCTTTTCTCTATTCAATAATATACATATTCTATTCTCTATTCAATAATATACATATTCTATTCAATAATATACATATTCTATTCTCTATTCAATAATATACATATTCTATTCTCTATTTGTCCGACAGGAAGTAGAAGAACAACCTGTAGAAGAGGAAGAAACAGAAGACAATCATTTAGAATTTGTTATAGATGACTGGGGAGAGAAAGAAAGTATTAAATCAGACAGTCCGATCATTTCACCGAAGTCTCCCGCCAAACGTGAAGTGACATTTAGTAAGAAGGACACAGTTCATGAGTTTGATAAAGACAAAGAACTAGCCACACCTACCACTGGCAGTCGTCAATCATCTGGATTGATGTCGAAGTTCAAGGACATTATGTCTAAACCACCATCTCAACAGGTATTATTTTTAGTACTTTCCGGATACAGTTTGTAAAAGATTTTCATATAAACTTAACTTTTGTGCAGCAGGATCTGAGTTAATTTCTTTCCTTTTCATACATTAATTCGTTCAATAATTTGTACATAAATCAGCCAGTTAGTTTTCTCGTTTGAATTGTTTTACATTTGTCTTTTCGGGTCCTTTATAGCTAACTATGCAGTATGGGTTTTGCTCATTGTTGAAGGCTGTACAGTGACCCATAGTTGTTAATGTCTGTGTCATTTGGTCTCTTGTGGAGATTTGTCTCATTGGCATTCATACCACATCTTCTTATTTTTATATTCAATACTCCTACAGATGTGCTAGTTGGAAATAAAGTGAATTTGGTTTAAAGTTGAGCTTTACAGAATGATTTCAGAGATAGTAGATAGCAGTGACCAGGTTTTTTGACTTACCTACTTTACTTACTGCCCTGTACGCCATTGGCCACAGGTTATTTGAAGTCATTATCTATTAAAGTGAAAGAAAGTACAAAATAACAAAATAAATAAAGATGAATACATAGATTTAGAAGTTAGAAACAATATTATTGTGCACAACCATAATGTTTGTTATCTTTTAATTTACAGGACGATGACGATGATGCCTCTACTGTCACACTTACACCAAGATCTCCAACAGAAATGGCAGAGGCTATCAGATCTAAAGAATCATCCTTTGCTAAACCTCCATCACCACCAAAAGATCCTAAACCAGTAGTTAAACCACCGTCAAGAAGGGAAGTTAAACCACTTAAACCATTGACGCTACCACCACCACAACCAAAGGTTGAAAGGGCTAAATCTCCAACACCGATGGTCAAACCAACAGCTCCACGACAACGCACACCAACACCACCCAGACCAGAAACACCACTACCAAATTATGTCACTCAATTCCAGGGCTCTGATTGGTTTGATAAATACTTCCCTAATTGTAATGAAAATGTAAGTTTCATATGTTTATATTATTTCATTGCAATAATTATTATACCCCACGCAACGAGTTGCGGAGGGTATAATGTTTTTGACCCGTCTGTCCGTCCGTCTGTCTGTCCGTCAGGCCGTCAGTCCTGTTTCTTGTCATCGCAACTCCTCTCAAACCACACAACAGAATTTCATGAAACCTTTTCAGATAATAAGGACATACTATGTAGATGTGCATATTGACAGGAAATCATGATTCAATTTTTTTTTCTTACACTTATTTTATTTCTCTAATGACAATGTGGGGACGTGGGGTATGTGAGCGCGCTCACTAAGGTTCTTTCATTTTTTAATGTTATGCCAATTACATAATAGGAACAGAAAGCACAAGTCCATGCTACTTTTAATTAATTAGCATATACAGTAAAAATATTACAGTCATTCCTTATGATTTAATTCTAAATTCCATGTTTAAGGAGTAAATCAAAAATATGTCTATAAGCTGATAGACAAAAAACTTTCAGCCAATCAGAAGATGTGTTACATCTAAAATTAAATTATTATGTTATGTATTAAGTTGGATATAATAAAAGATCGATTTAGGTTTTAAAAGATGTACTTTACTTTACAGACTTTCCCTAAACCTTGGAATGCTGACACCTTCATGACAATGTTAAGTAGACTGTTACGAGTGGCAGAGTATGTATTTAAAACAAAGATCACCGATTCTCTATCCATGTTATACACACAGGAGAATATTTCTGATCCTACGGCACATTCTGTTAGTAAGACAATTATCTCAGTGTTAAATAGTCCTAAGGATCCACCAACTTGTCTCGTAGACGATCAGAAGTCATTTATAGTGGCAGCTTTACAGGCTCTCAGTAAACTTGGTATCAGGGATAAGGATTTTATCACGGAAATGATGGTGCAATTCCTGGATGGGGATAAAGAAGTCAGGTATTGTGATATTTATAGATTATTCCATATTGGTTAAAGTGTTTATACCATATCAAGCCTCAGAGAGAAGCAAAGTTTGACAGTGAAAGATGGGATGAGGGCTTATACAGAAAACAATAAAGAAATTGACATGAAATACTTATTATTTTATGGATCCATATTTTTTTTACCTCAATACCACATTTTTAAAACCACATTTCAGAACAAGCATAGAAGTAGAATAATTCCATTTTCAAAGTTAAAATGAGAAAGATAACTTTTTACTAAAGATTTACTATAGGGACTTACTGCATCATTTGCCACAATCTTGAATTAACTGTTAAATAGTGGTGGGAGCTTTTTGTTTCAAATTAAAATTTGTATATGGGAATTTTATAGGAGTTTAGCCATTTCTATGCTGCTTTTAAAATTAGAATTTTATAGCAGAAGTCTATACATAGGGTTGTATGATATTTTGATATAGGAGCATTGATATATGAAATATGAAAATCATTTGCCTTCATACATGTTTTATCTAAATAGATTTGCTTTTTTTCAAAAAAGAATCCTTTATTTTCCTCCTGATTCTTTAGTCTGTCCACCTGTCACTGATAAAGTCATCAAAAACCAATAAAAGCACTGTTCCTTTGCTTTTTATGTGTTTTTTGCTGTGCATGTTCAGATTTTGCGTCATGGATGGATACCCCATATCCTTTGTTTTTCTATTAAATAAAAAAAGGTGATTAAGGTAAACATCAATGAGCCAACACCAAAAAATAAAAGATATCTGGAGGCCAACATATTTTGTTCCATTGTCAGAAATTGTTACATTCATTTTTTTGTTTCCAGGGCAACAACAATGGACATGTTAAATTCTTGTGGCTTACAGGATCAACACAAATATTTTATCAAGGAATTAGATTCCTGGGATATCTGGAATGTGGAAGAGGCTGATCGGAAAGCAGACTTACGGAAAATGGTACATTCTTGGCTAGACAGGTGAGAGCATTCAAATTAGAAGTGAATTCACATTTGTTTTATACCAAAAAGTCATGATAAGAAAATCTATATAGAAACTTTATAAAAAAAAATATGAAGTTTAAAAATCAGTGTAGTCTATAAACTGATAAAAGTATTTATACAACTTAACCATGATTTTAACAAAAAAATTATTTCCTAGGTTAATCTGAAATCCAGTATCTGACCCATAGTCATTGCTGTTTCCTCAAGTTTTTCTGTTATAAACTTTTTCCTAATGTAAGATAATTGATATTTTAGGTGGATGACATCGTACAAACTTCACTTGGAAGATACAATAGAGAGAATGAAGAAAGGACAAAATATTCACGGAAAGTTAAATCGTGGTAGTAAGGGTATTCTAAGAAAGGTATGCTTAGGGCTATTCCATAAAAATGTATGTGGGAGGGTAGGAAGGGAAGTTTAATTATTGAAAGTGGGTCATGGATCTTTTTTCAGTATGCGTCTATTACCGTTATGCAAAATTATCTAAAAAATGGTTCTTGGTTGTAGGGATATTTTGAAAGTCCCTTCCTACCCTCCCACATACATGTTAATGGAAAAGCCCTTATTTTACATACTGCAAAAGTACTTTTAATAGTTTATACATATATGGTCAGTTATATAACAAGTGGATGAAGTTACTAATGATGGACAATATAAATGTACACAGTCCTTCGATCAAATCAATGTTCAGATTCTGATAATTCTGGAATAGTATGTTTATTAGTTCTGGTCTTTGATAATTCAATGAATGCAGTGCATTTCTCTGTGACTTTGGAGTCAATTTTATTCCTTGGATAATCAGTATGAGATGAACCATTACCCATTTCATGATGCCTACCCAAAAGTCAAATAACAAATTAAATTTGTAGGATTTGTTCATGCAAATGACTTACTTAATTGTTATATGTACTGATACTAAATTGTTTGTGTTACAGGGTAGTACAGATACTGTCACTACAATACCAGACAGGGCAAGCATAACTGGTAGGTCAATTACTTCATTATTAACAATTCATATCATATTAAAATTGTGTGCACAATGAACACTTTAACAACCCTATAAAATTTTAAAAAGAAGAATTCAATTCCTATAATTACATTTTTTTATGCTACAACTATGAAATTAAGAGTTATGTCAAACTTTTCGTTTGTTTTTCGATGCATTATTTTAAAATTTCATGGATAACATGTGCAGTTATAGCTGTTGAATTTTTTATGGAAATAAAATATGATATTGGACTGCCTCGTGATTGTTGTCAGCCAAACAAGATTATCAATTCTAATGAAACATACATGTGATGTAATTATATATCATTAAATACCACTTTCAATCTAATAAAATGGAGTCTTTATAAACTGCATTTCATAAAAGTTCAATTATACCTGTTTTATAGTAAAATGAAATTTTTTTGGGATTTAAAAGCAATATTGTCATTACAGTCAAACCTGCTATAAAGGTCACCTATATTCATCAAAAACCTCTCTTATCCCATTGTAGTAAAATTAATGCATTATGAACCTCAATTCAAAGTTTTGAACCAAACAAAATAAGGAATTGTTTTGTTTATAAACTGGCTACACATTGGGTTCACATTGGATATTTTATACTGTATATCTTAACACATAATCTTATTCTATTTCAGTAACATTTGATCAGCCCCCAGATCAGTCCATAGTAGATAGTGCTACCTATATAGATTGTATTAACTACTTTGTGGAAATGATGATGGATAAGGCTTTAGATGGACTCAGAAAAGGAGGAAAGAGGCCCCCTGGAGCTCAAGAAAATGTTGTACAGGCTAAAAATACAGTACTGGTGCTACCTAAATTACCTCAGTATGTACTGTAATCTTTTCTCTTATTTTCTGTTTTTTAGAAGTGTAAAAAATCTTACACTTAAAAGAAACCCAACCAGGTCATAGCACTAGTACTAATGTCAAATATATATTGATAAAGAAATCTAGCACAATTTTGATAACAAGAAACATTCAGTTTGTTTTGATTGAATGCATGTTTTCCTCCTTAGTTACAATATTTTCACCAAAATGATATAATGATTCAATTATGAACAGATTTTGTAATACTTTAGTAATGGTATTTGGCTTGTATTTGTATTTGTGATTTAAGGGAAATTTGTGGTATACCTCAATGAGACAGCAGCCCAACAAAAATGGTAATCAGGAGGTCAAATTTAGGTCTTCAATGTTGGACATGCATGTTTGTTTATACATAAAACCTTGATAAAATCTTGACCAGAGGACAGCAACCCCAATTATTCCTTTATTGAAAAAAAAGCACTAAAAATTACACCAGGACAACTTCTTTAAAACTGAATGAACAAGATTTTAATGGAAATGAATTAAATTTCAAAGTGTCTAATTGAATAATATGTTTTATTGATATTTAATTATTGCAGCAAACCAGCTTTAGTTAGACTGGGTGAGACACATACAAGTCAGTGCAGACCACACAGAGAAACTAATTTGCATATAGGTAAGTTTTATCTACCAATAGAGAAACACATACAAGTCAGTGCAGACCACACAGAGAAACTAATTTAAATATAGGTAAGTTTTATCTACCAATAGAGAAACACATACAAGTCAGTGCAGACCACACAGAGAAACTAATTTAAATATAGGTAAGTTTTATCTACCAATAGAGAAACACATACAAGTCAGTGCAGACCACACAGAGAAACTAATTTAAATATAGGTAAGTTTTATCTACCAATAGAGAAACACATACAAGTCAGTGCAGATCACACAGAGAAACTAATTTGCATATAGGTAAGTTTTATCTACCAATAGAGAAACACATACAAGTCAGTGCAGACCACACAGAGAAACTAATTTAAATATAGGTAAGTTTTATCTACCAATAGAGAAACACATACAAGTTAGTGCAGACCACACAGAGAAACTAATTTGCATACCCATAGCCATCAATGAAGACAACATTGTGGAACTGATCAATACATAGGTCAATTTGATCTAGTTTATTTATTTTTAAAACATATGTAGTTAAGTAAAGACAACATTGTGGAACTGATCAATACATAGGTCAATTTGATCTAGTTTATTTATTTAACATATGTAGTTAAGTAAAGACCACATAGAGGAACTGATTAATACATAGGTCAATTTGATCTAGTTTATTTATTTAACATATGTAGTTAAGTAAAGACAACACTGTGGAACTGATCAATACATAGGTCAATTTGATCTAGTTTATTTATTTAACATATGTAGTTAAGTAAAGACAACATAGAGGAACTGATTAATACATAGGTCAATTTGATCTAGTTTATTTATTTAACATATGTAGTTAAGTAAAGACAACATTGTGGAACTGATCAATACATAGGTCAATTTGATCTAGTTTATTTATTTAACATATGTAGTTAAGTAAAGACGACGTAGAGGAACTGATCAATACATAGGTCAATTTGATCTAGTTTATATATTTAACATATGTAGTTAAGTAAAGACGACATAGAGGAACTGATTAATACATAGGTCAATTTGATCTAGTTTATTTATTTAACATATGTAGTTAAGTAAAGACAACATAGAGGAACTGATTAATACATAGGTCAATTTGATCTAGTTTATTTATTTAACATATGTAGTTAAGTAAAGACAACATAGAGGAACTGATTAATACATAGGTCAATTTGATCTAGTTTATTTATTTAACATATGTAGTTAAGTAAAGACAACACTGTGGAACTGATCAATACATAGGTCAATTTGATCTAGTTTATTTATTTAAGATATGTAGTTAAGTAAAGACAACAATGTGGAACTGATCAATACATAGGTCAATTTGATCTAGTTTATTTATTTAACATATGTAGTTAAGTAAAGACCACATAGAGGAACTGATCAATACATAGGTCAATTTGATCTAGTTTATATATTTAACATATGTAGTTAAGTAAAGACAACAATGTGGAACTGATCAATACATAGGTCAATTTGATCTAGTTTATTTATTTAACATATGTAGTTAAGTAAAGACGACGTAGAGGAACTGATCAATACATAGGTCAATTTGATCAAGTTTATATATTTAACATATGTAGTTAAGTAAAGACGACGTAGAGGAACTGATCAATACATAGGTCAATTTGATCTAGTTTATATATTTAACATATGTAGTTAAGTAAAGACGACATAGGGAATCAATGTTTTGTATAGGTAAGTAGGAACATACAAAATACAGTCTTAAGGATGTCGCTCCTCTTGTTTCTGAATTTTTGCCAGATATTAGGAATCCTCTGTTTTTATCCATGTACTGCCATTAAAAAAATTTCCCCCCTAACCCCTACTTTTCTTTTCATAATTTTATTACATATAGTTTAAAAAGCCATATTTGAAAATGCTATAAAATCTTTGTTATTTTTTTATATTTTTTTAAAGAAAAAGGGTGCTAATGTTAAATATATGAAAAGTCTAGAGAGAGTTATTTCCTGCCAAATGCTATCAATTTATAACAGTCTTTTAAAAAGCTTGTTATTTTGAAACAGAGTAGCGAACATCCTTAAACTGTATTTGAAGGCCTAAACTTATAAAGTAAAGAGAGACTAAAATTGTTTTCTAAAAATAGACTAAATGTTAAACAGTTCAGTCAAAGTGAACAGAGTAAAGAGCTGATAGTTAACTTTGTCTATATCCATTTAATGTAGTTTTAAACTATATATTGATAGTTGACTTTGTCAGAACCTTAAAGAGGATAATCTACTGAGTTGAATAAAGATGTTTCTTTATAGTGGATTTAGTATTTACAAAGTTAGACGTTCATCTCAAGTCAATCACGAAAAGAAATCTATGGTAGATAAAACAGATTCTTTTCTACAATAAATTGTTTGTGAAAATTAATTTTCTTTTTTTAGATTACCGATATCCTTCAACAACAAACAGAGGTTATCAACCTCCACCTGGATCCCTGTCAGGATTTGCACCTAGCATAAACTTACCAATGAAACCAGTATACATTAATCCATTCCCATGTGAGGTAGATATGTATGACACTCGATTCCAAGAACCAATACTCATTACACTGAAATCTGCACAGAAATACTTTGTACCAGCCCAGTCAATTGTGGCAGACATGTTTGAGACAGCAATCCCTCCAGCACGATGATTGTTTGATAGATGACACTGCATGACGATCACATGACTTGGTTTGTCCCTCTGACACAGACACTAGTGTGCATTGTTCTTGACAGAGACAAGTAATTGGTTATACTTATGTTAATAGCCGTACAGGAACCAAAATCTGATGAAATATTGTGGATACAAGTAAAGATCCAGCAAATGCTTAGGAAGAACTGTTCCTACTGTTGTTTTGGGAATTGAACTTTATTTGAATATTTTATGTGAACCAAGGTTTAGTAATTCAATGCCAATGGGTCATATTTAAATGATGATAAGTCTTGCAGAGACAAACAAACAATAAGAAATATATTTATGGGTACTTGTGTTTTTTCTTTCTTGAAGTACTTGAAGCATGGCTTAATATTCGCTAATTTAAAAGTCGCAGTGACATCCCAAATTTTGTTTCTTCAGAAAGTAAAATAAAAATCATGGTTAACCATGGTTTTCTATGATTTATTTATCAGAAATGATCGCCAATGTAACTTTGTAAAAGAAACGAACCAATTATTATAAATATCATATGTTCTCAATTAAACTCAAATCAAATAAGTCTATGTTCAACTGTTCCCAGTTAATCACTGCAACTTGAGCTTTAACATAAGGAAGTGGACCAACTGCTGCCGACAAGAAATGTATGCAGACATTCAGCTAAAGAAGCATTTCTGTGATACTTATTTTTTAATAAAATATATTTTTAAGATTATTTATGTCTGAACTTTTTGCAAATATGAAATTTTACCTTTAATGTCCTTTAATTTAATAGATAAAACTGTGATAGTGTTGTAATTTTTTACATCGACATAGTTTGAATTACAGTGTTCATCCTGATAAAATGGGTTTGTATTGATTCATGGGGAAAAGGCTAATATAGATTTTGGTATATGTAATTGTTATTGCTTCATTCCTTTTTCATTTTGAAAGCATGAAAGATGTGTCATGCTTTAGCAACAAAATCAATTATAATAATTATGCTTATAATTTATCTTTTTCTATTTTTCATAGAAATTTTTTTTAAAGACTGAAAAAACAATCAATTGTCAGATATGTTTTTTTTTTGTTCTGAATAAATTGTACCATTTTATGTTTTATGTTTTAAAATATTGGAGCCGTTTTACTGAAATATATTTTATATATATGTACTAGATATAGATGAAACTGTCATGAATAAATTCAACAAAAAATAAAATATTTGGGTATGATTAAAGAATCAATGATATAGCAACCGAAAAATACTAGTAGACCAAAACATACATCTAGAGGTAATTGACTATTGCTAATCACATCCTGGAAATTGCTGAATTTTTCCCTTTTATTTCAAATTGAAGTAAGATGTGGTATGATTGCCAAATAAGACAACTCTTCACCAGAGACCAAATGACGAAGAAGTTACTCAAGTTTTTCACATAGAGTAAAACAAGGTTTTGTCTTTTTTCTGAAAATAATCAAGTACAGGTATATATTTATTTGCATTGTATGATTTTTGAAGAAATATTGATGTTATCCTTTATATATAAGAATTATTTTACCAGAATTACTACATGATCCCCCACAAACCAAGGATTCTAGGTCAAAGTAATTGGGATTCATATATTGTCATTGGAACAAATTTTATAGATTCTTGAATACTTGATTTGAATAAAATTCTTAGCAGCAGAACTCTATAGAAAATTTGTATTTTTTAATAGGAAAAATTAGCACACAATTAATCATAATGAAACAACAGTAATATTATGACTTTTGTATCCCTCTGGTGACCTCTGGATGTCTAATTTGGTTTTCTAGATATTTTGACTTTTATTAATTTAAGATCGTATACTGTAACATCTTGATAAAAGAAATATAACGTAATTAGTTACAAAAAATTGTGACATCAAGCCCTGAGAGGACACACCCCTTGGTCTCTTTTCCTTTGTCCAGTTCCCTTCTTCTTGGAAAGAAAACATAGACATGGAAGGCAGTATTTAATGACTCTTATCAAAATTCTATTTTGTTTCACTATCATTAAAACATTGGACACAGCCTTGGTTGAGACAAAATTTCCATGTCTACCTTCTTGGTTCTTCACTGTACTAAAGTTTATTTTGTATAATCTTTGATTTTACAGAAAGATTGGAAATAATAAGAAGGCACTGCTTGTCTACTCTATATGAGTTGGTTTGTTAGGTAACAAAGTTACAGTTCAGACATAATCATAAATTGCATTTAAAATGTATCTGATTAATAAGAATTGAGTTAAAACCATTTTTAAGGTTGAAATCTTTTATATTATATGTAAGATTTTATATTGCGAAAAATTTGTTAAGAAATCATTCTGTTTACATTGATTGAAATAAAATTGTTGAATGTGCATTTCTCTGAAGATTTAAATATTTTTATTTTGTATTAAGTTATTTTGTTGTATAATTGACCAATAAAATTCAAGATAAATACTGATATGTTATGAAGCATCAACCTAGTTTCCAAGAGATCAGATATTCTACTCATATATATTTTCCTCTTAGTTTTGTCTTCCATGTTGATAATATTTGATTGATTAAATGATTGTTTGTGTTTAACACCACTTTAAGCACTCTTGTCTATATTGTGGGGGCTGGTTTGTATTATTGGAGGAAGCAGGAGTGCCCAGAGAGAACCATGAACTGTCCTTGTCGATTAAGATAGAAGTGGAAGGCACCTGCCACAAGTGGGGTCTGAACTCACAATCTCAGTGTTGACAGGATAGTTTTGGCTGAAGATGAACTTCTCAGATCACTCGACTACCAAGGCCCCTGATAATGTTTGTCGACCACCAAGGCCCTTGATAATGTTTGTCGACCACCAAGGCCCCTGATAATGTTTGTCTTGGACAATTCTTAGGAAGAAGTTGATATTGCCTTATGTAGCCCCTTTCTATTTTTAGTTAATAATTTTCTAAAGCAGGTTAAAAAACATAAAAAAAAGCTATGCACTGGCATTAAATACTCCTCATGGACTAGTTAGTATAGTTTAAAACTTTTGCATTTCACAAATTATTTTATAAAATAGTTTTGCTTTTCCTGGAAACTTCCCCTCAACTCAAAAGTATGTTCCAGCATCCAAAATTTAAGATAAGAATAATCAGATGTCCATGGGGTATCGATGGCCGAGTGGCCTAAGTAGTTCACGTACAGTGATCACTAGCCTGGAAACTCTTAAGGTTTTAATTAATTTCTTGTAGCTATGTGTATTTGATGTAGATCTTAATGCTAAAGGAAGGATTCCTACCAAATGTCAGTTGTTCTGACCTGAATTCCAGCTTCCCTTCATCAATAAAATCTGACTATATATTTTTATTATGACATAGCCAAGATTGCTGAAATCGACTTTCGTTTTTGTCCCACTTGCAACGAAAGTGGCGGAAGGCGAGACCAAGATGTTGCTTTTCCTTCGGTGACGACGATGACGGCGATGGCGTCAACAATTTTTAAGTTTTCTGCTTTACTTAGTTTGATAGGAACTTCTTGTGAAAGATCAATGAACTTTTCTTTACAGTTGCATTACTATCAGAACATATCAGTTTGACACTATCTCGATGCTGTGCCCCAAAGTCATGGTACAGTAACTTTGATTAATTATCAATTTTCAATGTTAAGTTTTCTGCTTTATATATAAAAATATAGAAATAAAAAGATGTTGTATGATTGCCAATGAGACAACTTTTCACAAGAGACCAAATGACACAGAAATTAACAACTATAGGTCAGTGTACGGCTTTCAACAATGAGTAAAACTCAAACCGCATTGCCAGCTATAAAAGGCCCCTAAATAACATATGTAAAACAATTCAAATGAGGAAACTTACGGCCTGATTTATGTACAAAATAATGAACGAAATACCAATATGATATACAGCAACAAACGACAACCACTGAATTACAGGCTAATGACTTGGGACAGGCACATACAGAATGTGACGGGGTTAAACTAGTTTATTGGCGCCAACCCCCCTAACCTGGGACAGTGGTGTAACGGCACAACATAAGAACAAACTATTCACAACAATAAACGAAAAACAAATACGAGAAACAGAAAAAACGACAACCCCTCAATTACAGGCTTCTGACTTGGGACAGGCACATATAGAATGTGGCGGGGTTAAACTAGTTTGAAGGCACCAACGAACCCCCCTAACATGGGACAGTCGTGTAACAGTACAACATAAGAACAAACTATAAAAATCAGTTGAAAATGGCTTAACTCATCAGATGGATACAAAGCAGAAAGACATCTAACAAAAACACAGAGTGGACGTGGCAGGGTACTTATACATCCCCACAACAAAAAGACACTAAGTACAGATATGAGAGTACTCGCAGTTACTGACAGCTAGTCCAAAGCCAATAACAACTAATACAAAAAATTATGCATCTAAGACTAAAATATCAATCAGTGCACATCCAAAATCTAATGGATTTAGTGTAAAGACGTCATTAACTCTCAGAGAAAAATACGACCTTGTGCAATGCCAATATACAGGTATATACAGATTGCAGAGCCATGAATAAGTATATAAAAATAATATTTTTTTACAGGTACAACCAAACTTCCAAACCAAATTTTTATATCTATGGAAGAATTTCGTAAAGGTTTTAAGTAATTTATGGTAACGAAATCCCTGACTCAATAATTTACTAGTAAAACATAGATTACGTTCATTGAAATCCAAAACGTCACAACAGACACGTGCATAGCGAACGAGTTGTGATATATAAACACCGTAAGACGGTGCCAAAGGAACATCTCCGTCCAAAAAAGTCGGTTTAATAAGAGCTACTAGTGATTGATCAATGGTATTTTCTTTAAAGTTGCATTACTATGAGGCGAGACATATCTCTGTGTCAAAATTTTATTTGTTTGTTTTATTTTTGTAAAAGTTTTGAAGGACTCCTAAGAATCTTCTGCCTCTTTCCATTACAGTAGTTTAGACAGCTATTAATTTTTATATCAGCAGTAATGATATTGCTTTCAATAGCAAATACCGTAACACCTACTGGGTCGATAACACTGCTGGATATCATCAACCAAGTAGTCAGCACTCTGTGTGATAATGAAATATAACTGAAATGATCAATTTGTATTAATTTCTGTTCATAACATTTTGAAGTACTTGAAACACTAAGTTTTTCCTTTCCCAGGCAAAGATGGCATCAACCGTAGATATACTGATGTGATCCGCTTGGACTGTCATTGTAACCTGACCTTATTAATGATTTAACATTTAGTAAACAGTATATTTACAAAAATTGACTGCATTAAGAATATTCCAGGTGCTAGATAAATAAAACTTCGTAAAAAAAACCTCTCTTCTCAAACAAAAAATTCAATGAAACGGATAACATGAAAAGTTTGATCTTTTCATTGACAATATATTTGATACATTTTGAGGACGTGTTTTTCAACAGACAATCGGCATTCAATAGGGAAATATGTGTGCTTCTTTAGTTGACATGTTCTTATATTCATATGAGGCTGACTTCATACAAGAACTTCGGGAATGAAACATATCAGATGACCACGGATATGTTAATCAGCTATACCAACGTTTTTATTAGGTTTTGGATTTTCAAATATTTCGGCCTGGATCATCATTGAAGAGACATCAATTGTCGAAATGCGCATCTGGTGCGTAAAATTGGTACTGTTTCTTTATTTCACATATGAAACAAATTCGATAATTTCCCATAAAAAAAAATTCGATAATTTCACATATTTTTTTTATGAAACAAATTCGATAATTTCACATAATTTTTTTAAGAAACAAATTCGATAATTTCACATATGAAACTAATTCGATAATTTCACTACTCTGGCATCGTACAGCAATGGGTATTGTCAAGACTGTAGGTGACGTTACACCAAAACAAATTGAGAATGGGCATAAAAAATATAGTTACTATGTATATTCTTCTTTATTTCCACAAAACATGTCAATTTGATAACGAGAAGAACCAATCCAAAAAAATTAAAACAAAAGTACCTTCCATCAGGAACGCTCAAAGCCGATTTTTTGAAAGCAAAGAGTGTATAAGTAAACTAATAGAGTCTAGGATTAGAACTTTCTACGCCAGATGCGCGTTTCGTTTACCAAAAACTCACCAGTGCCGCTCAAATCAAAGAAGTGAAAAGGGTAAACAAAGAACAAAGTTGAAGAGAATCGGGGACCCAAAATTTGGAAAGGTTTTGCCAAATAAAGCTAAGAAAATCCTTAGTATTTTGAAAAATTAACAGTTTAGTAAACAGTTAATTTATAATTATGACCATATCAATGATATCTAAGACCCGTAACAGTTGAAGAGTTATATGACCAAAAAGGACCTATAAATTATAGCCAAATCAATCTAAGGTCAACTTTGCCAGAGGAAGTTGAAAACCTTAGTTTCTTATTAATTTATAAATTTATAAACGGACAATTTAAAACAGATTTGTTATAAATCATGTCAGTATAAATGTTGTCCCTGCAGATAAAGCCCCAAACAACATCTTTTTGTGTGTAAATCACATTACATAAACTGCTAGATAAGTAAATTAGGTATTACCAATTCACTTGGAAACTCAACATAATTATACCCCTTATGACACATGCCCAGGAGGTAAATCCTGGATAATTATAGGTCTGTTATTATTTCCTTAAGAATTTCAAACAAAGATGAAGAACTGGATCTTCCTTCACTGTATCGGATACCTCACTTACATAAGTTTCCATACAAACAACGTTATCTTGCTGGGTATTCCAAGTGCTCCACAAAAGCTCTTTCTAAATTATTAACATAATTTTTATCAGCAGTTAAAGCCGGGGTTCAAAGTAGTTGTGAAACTACATATTCTAGAGGCGGTTTGAATCAAATTTCGATACTAAAAAAATAATCAAAATATCTGTTAGAGTACACACAATCTAAGACTTATCATCTTGCAGTACTATTAACACATTTGACTTTTCTACCCTTTACACAAGTATTCTCCATTCCAAACTAAAAGACAAATTAAAAGAGTTGGTCTTACTTTGTTTCATAAAAAAGAATGCCCAACGTAGATACAAGTATCTTGTCCTAGGGAGGGATAAATCGTACTTTGTGAAAAAATGATTCTGATTCAAACAAACAAATCACTGAAACTGACATTATCAAGATGCTTAATTTCTTGATTTACAACTTATTTGTTACGTTTGGAGGACGTGTTTTTCAACAAACAATCCAACGGAAATCAACTGTGCTCCTCTTCTTGCCGACTTGTTTCTTTATTCATATGAGACTGACTTCATACAAAAGCTTCTTAGGGATTTGGAAGGAAGCTAGCATTATCCTTTTACTTTCCACTATATAGATGATGTCCTCTCACTAAATAATTCAAAGTTTGGTGACTATGTTGAACGCATCTATCCCATCGAACTTGAAAAATAGTTTACAACAAATTC